AAAGCAGCCCTACGAATTGGGTCATCGAACGATGTTCCTGTTGGTGTATAGCTTACTCATATATTGGTGTATAGCTTACTGAGTAGAGAGATCTTATCCGAGATTTTTATGAAAGCCAACCTCTCGCACACCACCATTCCCTTCAATGACTGATTTAGAAATGTCATTTTCATTCGAATGCTATCAATTTCTAGATAATGGGTGTGCGGATACCACGCATGTTTTCCATTCGCACGAAACACTACTTTCAATTCCATATTCTTACTGCTGTCTCAGCAATTGCTTCGGTGCTTCACTGCATTAACACATACTCGGAGGAGGAGCACGCTTCTAAGGAACAGTCAAAAACGATCAGAACGTGAGAGAGACGCGAGGAGAGGCCACGAGGCTAACCAAGAGCAAGCTTCCCCTTTGATGACCTAAATGTCTGCTGAGTAAACCAGGGCTGGAAATAGGGAAGGAAGAGAAGGATCAAATGAAATAAAAAAGGCAGGAAGTACTACAGCCGTCTCTTAATAATATTGCAGCGCGCGTCTTTATGACACACACACACACACAAACACACACACAAAACACACTATGTGGTCAAAATATATCACACTAATTAACCCACACCGCAACACTAATGAAGTGGACATTCAACGAGTCCGGAGGGTAGTAACAAATATGAACGCTTCATAAGTTTCATAGGAAGTAAACACTCACTGACAAACTGCGCAAACTCAGATACAGCTCTGCTTTGCTGAGAGCGTCAGGGCATTCTTTACGGTGTTCACGATATGCGGATTCAAATCAATGTTCAACCAAACGGAAATCAGGGCCACGTCCAGCAGTCATAGACTAAATCCTGTAATCAATACTTACGCCATTATGGCTGCCCCCTAAAGAAACCTTTTCTAGGACACCTTGGATAGCTCTGATGAGGGAAAAAAATAGACGGTGACAATATCGCATTAATAAGTTCGAGAGCTTGTTACGCGTATATTCAAGTGGTACCTGGAAAGCGATTGGTTCGCTTATGAGGTTTAACACCCAAAATAACTCAGGATAAAGAGGTGCTGCTTAATATCTGTTCATGATTCGGTGTGATTTGTTTCGCGCAATCTTTTCGTTGCACCTTCAATAAGTATCAAAAAACACCTAATTGTATCGTTAAAATTTCGTGCCACCTGCTCTTCAGTTCAGGCCCTCAGCTGCACTACGTCGTTTTACGTTCACAAAACTTGCAACATTTTGTGCATATGAAAGGTTACACGAAATAGCTAATGATCTGTTCTAAGAAACAGTTCGAAAGGAAATCAGAAACTCTACAAGGTGCAATTTGTTGTGAGCTGCCTCTGCTGCGGTGCCTAAGGTGCTCGGATGCTGGCCCGTAGGTCGCGGGTTCGATCGCGGCCGTGGCGGTCACATTTCGATGTAGGCGAAATGGTAGAAATTCGTGCACTGTGCGATGTCCGTTCACTTTAAAGAACACCAGATGGTTCCCGATTTCCGGAGCTCTCCATTACGGTGGCCCCGCAGCAGAGATTTAGTGGCTAAAGTAGTCGGCTGCTGACCCGCAGGTCGCGGGATTGAATCTCGGCTGCGGCGGCTGCATTTTCGATGGAGGCGAAAATTCTGTAGGCCCGTGTGCTCAAATTCGGGTGCACGTTAAAGAACCTTAGGTGGTTAAAATTTCCGGAGCCTTCCACTACGGCGTCTCTCATAATCATAACATGGTTTTGGGACGTGAAATTCCATTTATCTCTAATTATTTTATTATTATTATTATTATTATTATTATTATTATTATTATTATTATTATTATTATTATTATTATTATTATTATTATTATTATTATTATTATTATTATTATTATTATTATTATTATTATTATTATTATTATTATTATTATTATTATTATTATTATTATTATTATTATTATATGCTGTTTCTTTTTAGATGCCACCTAGCGACCGCAGCGTAACGTTGCTTCAGATGACCAATGAGCCTGGTTCATCCAGTTGTTTTCTGTGTATACACGTCAACTTTCTTCCGTTAAATACTCAGGCTAGCATTCGCGCTTCTCTCATAAAGCGCACGACTTGAGTAGTATTTTGTTGTAGCTGCAGAGCAAATTTATGAAGCAGCTAAAAGAAAGATTAAAAAATTTATGACCTAACACTTTGTTGCTTACACGTGGTTGCATTCCTAATTGTGAACTGATCAAAATTCTCGGAGCAGTACTGACTGTATCATCCACACTACCATGCTTTAGTTCGCACACGTAATCGAAAAAGACTTGTTGAGTATATTGTGAATTGAAGTTTACTGGCACAAGCACGAGCACGTAATACCGTGTTCAGATGTTTTGCTTAGTGAAAAAACTGACACTCCCAAGCAGAAGTTCGGTGATAGCAAGACCAAAAAACTTAAGTTTCTGCTACACGGCCTTCTTTAACTAAAAAAAAAACGATGATCTTTGCTAACTGGCTCAGGTAAGACAAATGTGTCCCTACTGTGACCTTAACCTTGGTTCCTTATAAAACGGCAATGCTGGCTTCACTGTCTGCACAGGGGCGCCATCTGGAGAGCGCACCACGAATAAAATAAAACGGCCAGCGATTGATTGACTTTCAAGTGTTGCGCAGAAAGGCCTGCGACTTTCAAAAAGCGAGCCGCCGGGCGAAGATACGCGGGGAAAGAGAGAGTTGAAGATGGGAGGGAGAGAACGGTGCACTTGTGTCCCAAGCATCGATTCACGCAGCACACAAAGCGCGTTTTGTCTCTTCACGCTGATTGGCTGTCCGGCGAACCGCCCGCGCAAACGGACCACGCACACGTCTTCAATCAGGTGGGGCCAGCAGCGTGCAAGACGCTGCAGCAAAAACGTCGCCCTACAGGACGTCAGGTGAGAAAAAGTGTGGTATAATATGAAGAAAATGCTTGTATGGGGAAAAATGGCGGAATCAGTACGAGAACTTTCGGTGGAAGTTGTCTTGCGAAGCAGTAACTTCACGAAGCTGTATATACAAAATACACTGACGTATGGTAAACTGTAAGTGATCCATTATAAAGAAAAAGTACTTTCTAAATCAGTGTTGTATAGTGCTATTAAAAATAGCTAATTATTATTTACTCACAGCTTAGGTTATCACACTCCACTTAGAAGTGCTATAAAGAAGATTTTTTGAGCATAGAGATCGTTGCTAGTTAGGCAATGCACCGGCCACAGTTTATGAGCTCGAGCATATGCTGCACGCTCAATGCTGCTGCCTCTGTGCTGGAGTACTACCTCTTCCTTACAATGGCCCCGTGGAAAAAAAGGAGTTGTCCTGGCGACTTAGTCGTCTGCTGGCACCGTATAACCATGATACGACTTTAGTCTCTGGACGTGTACAACCTCGCGGTTACGGCGTCACAGGTCTGACGGTGGCGTAAGAGGCTCCATAAGGTAATTTACTGAAGAAATCTGTTCGATAATACGATATGGCCCATCGTACTTTAGCTGCACTTTGAAAGAGAGTCCAGGTGTGCGATGCGGCAGTGACAGCTACGCAAGGAAGAAAAACGGGAGTTCAGCTTTGGGCATCGTGGATCGCTTTTTGGTGGTTCTGGTCATCGGATGTAAAGCGGCGAGCCAACTGCCGAAATCAACAGAGGGTCAAACCTCTGCTTAACGCTCGATACTACTGCCTCTGCGCCGGAGTACTTCCTCTTCTTTACTGTACTTTTTGCTGGGCTAGTTGGAACATTATAACGCGGAAAAACTTTAGACGATTAAAACGCCATTTCTTTGGGCTCATTCGTTCTTCCTGTGGTGTTAAGCGTCTAAACTTTTCTCTCATTATCACACTCAATCATGTCGAAGCGGCATATTGCTTACGCTGCCTTCCGTGAACGTTTTTTTTTTTCAGTCTTACAGACCATTTCTCAAAACTGAACTGAAATTCATCGAGGTTCCTAATGAACATGTTTAAACATTTAGAGCCAAGAAACCTCTGAGTGTACGCTAATGGGACCTCCCAGGTTGGCGCATAGTGTACAACGGAAAGGGAAGTACACTAAATGCGAAGCTTTGTGTAGTTACCATTGAAATGTCTGATACAATTTACTTGCACAACAGAGACTGCGCACACGCATTTAGGCAGAAGATTCTTGGGTTTGTTTTATACGTTTTGAACAAATATAAAGATTCCTGTGCCTGAAATGTTTGAAAAGGGTTATCAAGGGACTACATTCCTCTGCTAACAATCTTACGTGCCTTTCTTATAACTTAAATCAAAAACTTAGTTTATCTTGGTCATTTCTCGTACTCACAGTAAGGCTTCGACCTCAAAGCCTTTCCTGTGCGTGCTGCTCCTACCCACTCCTCATTTCAATTTTTAAAATTAGAATCTTGCTACCTGAACAAGCTAACATGTAGTTTAATATGCACTACGACCTTTCAGCATAAACTTCACTTGAAAATTGCGGCTACTTTTCCACGTGCAATTTATGAGAGGCAGGAGCCATCTACGATTGCAGGTCAGTCGGTCAGCCTCGCTGTTGGCCCAGTAGGCTCCTCTGGCGATGAACTTCCCATTTATGTTAAGCGCATAGTGTCATACGCACCACAAGCAGCTTGGAATGTATAGCGTGCAAGCAGGCAGCTGTCTGTCTTCATTATCGTTAGATGTGCACAAAGTGTAGGATGCGTAAGTAGTCAGAATCTATGAATATGGGAAGTATTACCGCAATCGACGTAGGTAGGACCATTTGTGCGTACAACAGTTGCATGTGGCCAGCCATGAATAAGCACGCTTTTTTTTCCTTTATTTATCTTTTTTGCACGCTTCTACGATGTTAGCAAGGACACTTCAGCTGTAAAACTAAACAAACGGTGAGACGCGATAATGAATAGACCGGATAATAGCAAAACTTTCTTCCCTTGTGCACTCTAACCAGTTGTGGATCTGGCGCAGGCACACTTTAACTGAGAAAAGCGGAACGAGCGCAAGGCTCACAACCCTGCCTCGATAATGACCGTGGCAGCTGGCAAGAGTGGCACCAGCGCTGCAGCATTCTTTGCGGTGATCATGGTGATCGCGACGGCCCAGGACTCATTGCGTTTTGGTAAGTCTTGCTTCTCTGGCTTCACTATAGACTTCACCTACGCCCATAAAACTCTGCTCGAGAATAGAACAACGTTTGGCGAGCACTCTGAGTATACGGGAGAAGTGCTTAATAGCAGCAGAGATATTATTCCTGAAACACGTGTTGAAATCGGAGCATTAAATCATACGCGAGTTTAAATGTGATCACGAACATATCTTGCACGCCTGCCCATGATATATCGCGCAAATTAATTCGATGGCCCCCATCTCGATGAAATGCTCGAAGCAGAAAGTTACTCAAAATGTCATGTTGGGAACACCAACTCGTCATCAGCGTGATATTATGAAAGTACAGACCAAGTTTTTTGCGAAAGACAGAGCTCGACAAGAGACTAAATTGATACAAGGCTTCACTTCATCGCCACCTCCCGCGTCATCATCAACACCTTCTCTCTGCTTTTTTTACACCCCCTCCCCTTCCCCTTTCCTAACGCTTACAACACTAAGTAGCAAGCCAAAAATGAATTCAGGCTGACTTCTCAACTTTTCTGCCTCGATAAACATTTCTCTTCTCTAAATGTGATCAAAAGTATTACGTAAACACTCGCACACACTCTCGTCAATAATGCTAAATCAAACAAGGAAACAAAACATGTCAAAATGACGAATCATTTTAACATTATCCCATACCAAACTATGTAAAAGAAGAATACAAGGTTTCCTTTTGAAGCTTTAAAGAAATCTTGCTGCGAAATCTTCCACGGCTTTTTGTTCATTTTTACAAGGTATGCCTCAATACAACCTTAGGTCCTTCTCTGTTTTTGTGTTACACTTCGACAAGAAGCTTCTATAATTTCTTCGGTCTATTCATTCAGTCTCACTGCAATATAATAAAGTCGGGTTTTCATTTCATTATTATGCGTAGCACTACAAGTTGAACGCAAAGAGCTCACGAAAATAGAGTCGCTACGACACATGACACAACGTGTAAGCGTGCTCTTCATGCACCAAACTGGACATGGTGTAGTTGAAATCCCCGCCTTTCCTGCACTTTCTCTTCCTCGCCCTCTCTGTTGCACTTCATGCAGAACATCGTACGAAATAACGCTTAACGTCCCTCTCTTTGCTAAAAAACCATCAGGCCTGCGTTAAACGCGCAGCACTGTCACAGCGAAAGCTGGAAGAGCGGACTTTCAGAGCCTTTTTAAAACACTCTTTGCGGGGTTTGCAAAGACTTGATCTGCAGTTTGATCTGCCATATTGGAGAATATAATTTTGTTTTGTTTATCAACTCTCGGCTCTCACTCGTTCTTTGGACCACAGCTGGCCTCCACTGGCGTGCCAAATAGGACCACTTCTAAATTTCCCGCACTTTCGGAACACACTTGCAGCGCACCCACTTCGCCATTAATCATTGTGTCGTAGACAGGTATTGACTATGCTATCCTTCGTCATTCGTTCGAGAAGCGTGGTACCTCCTGCACACATGAATAGGACATAGTGCAATTTTTTGTGCTGTGCTTGATGACCATGAAGAATTATGGCAGAAGCCTTTGTAATCTCCACATCCCCGACAGTAGGTATGCGCCACACTTAATATGAGAACCATATCGAGCTTTGGTAAACGGTTCCAGCATTCATTGGCACTTTTTGCGCAATTCGCATTATGTGACACCTGACTGTTCTTTTGCTGGTATAAAACGCCTCATTACTCATACTAACGCGATTCCTTTCTCGACATCGAGCATGCATAAGACCAGTTTGCAAAGAAGTTCTAAATACTGGCATGGCTCAGTGGTAGAATACTAAGCGGGTACGCAGGGGACCCACTGTGTCCTTGGTGTTTTTTGTTAGTGGTTATGGACACCGGTGGCGTAGGCAGCGGACAACTACGGCGCGCATGTCTACCGTGTTGTCATCTCATAACAACTTTCACTGTAAAAGAGTGCGTGATGTTGACAGTCTGGTAGGGAAACTCGCTCATCAAAATTTGGGACAAAATAAATACTTCAAGAAGAATCTCATAAAATAACAATTAAAGCTTATTTATTGTCCAATGCCCCAAATTTACAATTGCATGTAATTTCTGAATAAATCATGATAAAATAACCAGTGGTTATAAATAACGTATTGCTCTTGTTCCTGGGATGAACATTTCGTTTCTCGAAATTATAATCTTCTTGGGACATATACTTTAGCACAGTTGTATAGATATGCAGTTTGTGAATTTAGAGTGAATATCGGTTTGACACTCGATGTCGACTATAGCCATACTTGTTACTGATGTTTTGGAGATCAAGATTTTCTTATGCAAAAAGGCAAAAAGTGATATTGCATTGTTATTTAGATTACCTTGATTATTATCCAGATAAGGGGTTGGTACTGATGAATGAACGTTTGATAGTACTTGTGTAATATTTGCTACTCACTACCCCATCAGAAGTATCCAATGGGGTTCACCGCCAAAGGACTGCAAGAGATGCCTCCATGTTACCACACAAAAAGGTGTTTGCAAGTGCAAAGCTGTCATGTTTTTCCGCAACATGCAGATTATTCATACTGCGCTATTGAGTTCCGTCACGCACCACCATTAAGAACGTTCAAAGATAACTGGGTGCCGTCAGTGAGCTTTAGAAACAGCGCATCAAAGGGCATCAGACGGTCTAACTGGTACCCAATGGTTGCAATGAAAGAATTTTTCGTCGTGCGAGGCGAAAAACGAAATCAGGAAGAAATAGATGGACAGTTTCCGTATTTCGCCTCGCGCTACGAAAAATTCTTTTAAATGCATCGCCAACAAGCCCACATAGCAACTCTCGTCGGTTCCAATGAATCTCAAGTATATACTGTGAACATAAAGAAGACCACTAAAGGAGACTAGGACTATAGGCGTATCTACAATTAGCGTCTGGCAATTGTTAACCCTGATTCGTACACTCCTTTTTAGGGCTCTATCTTGACGTATTACGTGCATGAGGCCACGTCGACTCTCTCCAACCAAACAGCTTGCGAACGATTCGCTCCACGCAAAAGTGCAATCACTGCACTCGTCATTTGCAAGCTACAAACTATATTTTACCGCTACCTGTCTCTGGGAATGCTGTGACCGCCTCTTCAAAATCAGTGGTGCTATTGTGTAGCATGTAAGGCACTACCCGAAGATTACTAACAGCTTTTACAGTATTTGAAATAACAGCTTTGAAGTAACAATAGCGTGCGTGTGTCCATCGGTCAGTATTTTCGAGAATCATGGTAGATACAATGTAGCGTGTATACTATACATGCAGTAATTATCGGAGCGGGCATATTCGTGCCAGCCCAAACCATACGTGCCTTAACGTTCCATCGTGAAACCAGGAAAAAAGCGCAACGATACTCTCGAAAACGACTCTTGTTTCTTTGCCCCGCTTGCAGTCGTTGTGGTGGAGAAGGGCAACGATGTGGCGAAGCTCATGATAACCGAGACGCTCAAAAAGACCACCGACGCAGTCCTGACCTACTCTCTTGTTGAACTAGACCCGGAAGAAGTGAATGTCGCTGATGGTAAGCATTTTTTGCGGCTCTCTCGGTATCGCATGATAGTGTAGAACTACAAACATGGCCGATACACAGGAGGCACAATTATTACAGAATAAGTAAGCTGCTGTTGATCTGTAATTTCTGTGGCCTCTGTTATCAGCTTCATGTATGATCATTTACCAAGGAGGAGTTTACGATCACAGAAGACGTGTTGGAGTCCTGAAGTAGGGTACAAACTCCTCTTGGGGTCTTTTTTTTCTAAATCATATCTTAAAGTTACAGAGGATGGGCAGTAAAGGATAAGTCTCTGAAGAATAAGCAGAAATGTGGCACCCACAAGACTGGTTACTGTCCAGCTAACGAAGTAAAAGTAAGACAAGTTAACACTGCTCTACCTGCTGTAAATGGAAGAAGGCAACCAAATTTTCAGACACCCCAATGAACATAACAGGGATGCAGATGAGTTTATTAACATAATAATATCTTAAATATTTGATTAGGAGAAATTCCCAAACCTCATGCGTTCATAATAATTCTATGAACATGTTCTGTTCTTGCTGAATAGAAAGTGCTCAAACTTATTATATATGCGCATTTAGAAAACTGAGACTTGCTTGTACTAGTTCTGAGGTATCCTTAATTTAACTTATGAGTAAATGCACTGGCGCGCAAGGCTTCTCCACCAAACACTTCTTTCGAGCGGTCACGCTTAAAGCAATTATTATTATTATTATTATTATTATTATTATTATTATTATTATTATTATTATTATTATTATTATTATTATTATTATTATTATTATTATTATTATTATTATTATTAGTGTTATTGCTTGGCGTTGTTGTTGTAATCTTGCATGTATGCTACAAGGTGACAGTGAAAATAGAGAAGGAACAGGGTGAAAACAGTCACTTATAAGGGTGCATCGTCTGCCGACTCTTTCGGGAGTAGAAAAGAAATGTATAAGTTACGATATAAAGTAAGAAAAAGTAAGAAAGAAAAAGAGAGGACTAAAAAATGACAACGACTTATAATGAAATGAGCTATAATGCAGAAAAAAACGCCAATAACGGGCAGCCCGATTCGCTTCATTCATGAAGGCAAAGCTTGGGAGTTCTGGTCACGTCGACCCTTTTGGAAAGGAAAAAATTGTTAAGGGTCACGCAGGTAAATATATAAATTGAGTTTATATTCCCTAATTGCCTTGTCCTGCTGCGTAACAAATACGGGACAGTCTAGAATAAGGTGACCAAGTATCCTACAAGAGTCACGAGACTTACACGATTAAATGAATAAATGAAGGAAGGAATGTTCATTGGGTGAAGGAAGGAATGTTTATATGCGACGATGTCGCGCACCCGGCTTATAGTGCAACGTCGGGGCAGACAGACTAACAAAGAGCCACGACAATGAACACGGGGAGGCAACGACGCACTAGTATGGGTGCTGCTCGAAGTCGTATTAGCAGATCAGCGGACGGGCGTTGTCAAGCACACAACATATTTTTAGCACTCACTCTCGTTGCGGGCATAAGTTAAAGCGAGGCTATCGACATCTCCATTGTCAGTGATACCAATGTGTGATGTTATCATGCGGGGCATGAGGGATACCCCGCGATAGATAATTTTCCCGGCAAATTCTATTATATGACATGGAACTGTGCTATCGGTATCATTTATCAACAATATTGTAAGAGCAGTATGGGAGTTTACTAGGATGAGAACATTCGATGCTCTTCATTCTTCGTGCAGACACTTCAGAGCAAGGTTTAGTTCACCGAGGGGGTGTACCGGTTACCATGGTTGGCTGCAGGCCCGAAGGTTGCGAGTTTCGATGGAGAGGCCAGTGTACTGGCAATGTCAGAGTATACGTTAATAAACCGCAAATTGTCGAAGTTTTTCGGAGCCCTGCACAACATACGGTGTTTCTTATACTATATCATGGCTTTGGGACGTTACTCTAGATATTATCATTATTCAGAGCAAGGTCGGTCACTGCCTGCCCTTCTGCATCTGTTGATGAGAGTGGATTAGTTTTTCGAAGCACTGATCCGAGCCAATTCAATGGCAAAATAAAGCAGCAGAAACGTCTTGGCCGTCGCTGCCAAATGCGCCCATAAATAGTTTAAGGTAATCTCCAAGTCTTCCAAATAAGTGTAACCCTGCCAACTGAAACAGGGCAGGAACAGGCTGTTGAGACTTTTTGTGTATTCCTGCAATCAAAACAACAAAGCTAAATGAATCCCAAGGGAAACTGTGCCACGGGTGAGATGCTGTATCCACCTAGCTACCGCTGAGGCTGTTTTGTGATCCACTTTCTGAGTAATTGTTCACTTGTGGTAGATATATCTGTGGGAGTGCTTTGCTAGTTTAACTCACGGTTATGGCAGCGAATGTGGAACTTCCTTTTGATGATAGGTGCACTTTGGTCTTTTTTTCTTTTTACCTCAAAAGGTTTTTTTTTTTTTAGCCACGGTTCACCATGACTACAGTGACGTATTTCTGTCATGAATGCGACGTTAATAAAACTGAACAGATGATAAAAACATGAAAAAGTTCACTGCCACAAATCAAACCTACTTCTGGGTCCGTGACGATAAGCGCCCAGTGCTCTATCGAATAAGCTAACAAGACACATGCACCACACTCCACACATCCCCTCTCGTACGCATCTGTCTGTAAGCGGCACAAGACAGGACGGTGCGCTGCCGCAGTCTGTGAGCGGTGAAGTGAAGTAATGCGTCATGACAATTGCTAGCGAGTATAGGGAACAATTCAGCGACGTTGCAGTTAAGGCATAGCCTCCGAGATTGGAGGCGGGCATGAAACGTGCCTGAGTGCAATCTCAGAGGCCATGGCTAAAACGTCTCGATACCAGCGAAGAGCACTGGCTACATCGGGAAAATCGCCCTAGACGTAGTTACATTTATTGCCTTTCGCTTCGTGTTAACGTGTGACGGCTCGTTGTCGGAGTAGAGCAGCTTCTACTAGCAACAGCGGTGTTTTTTCGCCGCCGACTGCTTCGAGTGCGATAGCACTGGCTCATAAAACTGCTTCGAATACGCCGCAGAAAGGCAGCGATGTCGACAGGTGAATGTCGTGCCCAAATAGAGCAGGACAGATACACGTGGAACACCCGCGTGCGTTCTCGAGTCAAGCTATAAACCCCTGCCTTCCGTGTTGCTGAAGCGCAGTGTGGTAGTTTATGCATGAGCACAGGCGCGAGTTACCAATTACTTGTGAGCGTACACCATGCCGTTTATCTCCTTAACGACGCTTTGAAGAAGTGCATATCGAGTACCAGTGTTTCTAATGTAATTGTTGATGCCATCTTTGAGCGGGATTCACATAACACTGCTACCACAAAGTTTAAATCATGATCATGAGCGTTGATGGCAGCAATGAGAAAGCGCCACTATGCATCAAAGTGGGTGCATTCACGTCAAACTGTGCTATAGGTGCCAATTACACCAATAGGCATGGCACAAACTCTCAGATATCAATGCACAATAAGCACTACTTCTTTGAAGGCACTTTTCATTTTCGTCTTACACCGATTACTTTGACGGAAGAATCAATCCTGCTTTTGTTTTCTTTTTTGCGCACGTTCATTCTATCCTACCAGGTCGCAACATTTCAGTTGAAAAGCCGAAGTATATTTCTCTATAATTTGCTTTGTTGTATGTTGCCCTCATGTGGCTAGAACTGATAAAAGTTTAGTTCCTGAGCCTTCATTCTCACTCTTACAACGAGGGACAATATCATATGGCACACCAATGCGGGAGAGTTTGATGATATCGAAGCTGTTGCTATAGACGCAAGAATTCTCATGCGCGTATATGCTCGGCACTGACCATCTTCAATTCCCGACTTACAACGAGCTCTCTTGAGCAATAAGTTATGAAGTTAGTCGACACAGTTGACTGCGCTAATATCCCCAGTATTTACGGGACATGTACTTTTAATAGCAAAAGTTTGCGGAACGTGCAACCACAACAAATGCGAATTTCCGCTATATCAATCAAGCTGGTGACTGTATAGGTCGGGATGTCAAGAGCAGTATGGAACATTTGTTTTGAAAGTACATTTTGAGACAAAGCGGGAATTTAGCTTTACCGAACATTTCGCCTCCCGCAAACTTCTGCTGTTAATAGCATTTTTCGCGATATTTCTTGGCCGCAGCCAGGTGCCCCTTTGTAATTGAATGGGAAGCGTACACAAAAAGTTAATACCTCAAGAATGAGATATGATATTGAAACCGACTCGAGGTTTCAGATGCTAGGGAACCACTAGTACTTTTTCGGAACAATTCCACAAATGAGCCCCAAAGCGCCTATTTTTACAGACCACTTGATTATATTGTTGCGGTAACGAGATCTAAAAAAGCTCGCTCAGATTGGAGGAAGGCGATGGGACTTATCACCGCCTGGTCAACCTATGTGGTCCCTGTCAATACACCAACTCTGCAATCGTGTGCCTGTTTTCTTCCCGCAACAATATTACTACACAGCCTATGAGAGCTGCCTCGATGCCGATCCAGTTTGGCGCCTTTCCATTTCGATTGCAATGTTCCGAGGGGGGGGGGGGGGGATAAAAAATGACTTCGGATTTTAGGCTAGTGGAGAAGCGTACTTTCCATTGGTATGCCACTTTATTGTGTAACTAAAACCATGTAACTTCTTCGGCCGTTTATGTCGACCCTTTTTTTGTTTTGAAAGCATACATACGCTTCTACGTTCTATATATTCTGGTGTGTCGAAACAGCTGGCGGGGCTCACGAACTTTTTCAATACAATGTTCGGGAACGTGTGCGGTAGAGAGAGACGAAGAAAGAGGGGCGGATCCATAGGAGGGAGAAGTAAGGGCTATTGCCCCCCCCCCCACGCCTGTAAGCATCGCTTCTCCCCCTTTTCAGTGCTTGCCGTCCACCTGATATCACCATTTAGGACAAATGAGTGGCACTCTTTTGAGCACACATTAACAGTATTTATGCTATGATAGAGTTTTTGTGATAATAAAAACAAAAATGTAATGACCATGCTCCCCTCTCCGGTGTTACTTCAAGTGACCGCCCCCCACCCCTTAAAATGAGCGGCTGCATCCGCCCCTGCGAAGAAAGTGCTTCAATGGCTCAATGAGTCCTTTTTGCCACTGGTTCGGGCGACGCACACGCAATTTCAGCTTCAAGTAGCGCTATGTGGTGGCAGCTTTTGGAACTACGTCAATATTACTTTTCGCTAGGCATTTAATAATATTCGTTGCTGTTAGCATAATGCCCAGCCGAAAAGAAACTGTTATTTGATTACATTGTACTGATTATTAATAACTGTTCTCGCTTGAAGCCTATGCTAAGTTATTGCCCCTTTTCACCCTTTTACTTTGTCAGCAATTGCAAGACTTCCAGTTTCTTATTACATAAGTCGACAACTGTATGGCAAAAGAAGTTCTGAAACATATAAAAGCACTAAATTCATGCGCAGTATTTTCATCCTGCAGTCCTTTGTGGCTCATCTCTGTCGTAGAACGATTCGAACTAAAATGCAGACTCAAGGGATTGACCCGGAGAAATCTAAAGGCGATTGCTTGCTTGTACAAATGCACAACAACTGTACATGTTATTCGTAGAAACTAGAAAGTAACTTTTATGCCACATAGATGCTCTGTAAACGAGTTTAATTTGGTATATTCAAGATAACTATCACAAACGAAGTTCTCAAGCATTTAGGACTCATGATTTTTTTTTGTAAACTAAGTGTTCTGGAATACACATACATGAAAAAGGAGCACAATATTTACAATTACGATTATCTTGTACGGAGATCACGATGCATCATTTTGTAGCTTTAGTGACACTTTAAGTCGGCAATACCACGATAAACGCCGCAGGGTTTTAACCGAAGTCCGTCCATGCAGTGTGCAACGCCATCTTCGCCGATCCGAGGCCGGACGTGCTCATTGACGCCGTGCGCACCCCGGGCAGCACAGTGGAGAAGCTGTCGACAGCGGTGCGCGACACGGCACGTCGCATGGGGCTGCCCACGCTTAGCCTCACATATGGCGTGCACAACGACTACACACTCAGCGGCTGGGATCGACTCACGGCACTCGAGCGAGAATACCTCGTTCACATAACACCACCAGGAGACATCTACACGCAAGTGATTCGCGACCTCTGTAAGCAGATGGACCTCGCTACCGCTGGCATCATCTACGACAGTAGCGTCAGTGAGTGGCTGTACACCTTGAGGAGATATATACTATTAAAAAGCACCGCGTAGAAGTGGCTCCCGCAGCGTAATAATTTCTTACGAAAATCAACTTAGTGAAAACGTGCCAGCTCAGTCTTGGCGCTCCGCCTGGGCAAGTGTAAAGCAGCAACGCGTGACAGTCATGCGAGCAAAAAGAGTTAGCAGTTTCGACAAATCGTTCCTTTCTGGTAACTCGGGAACAATCAAGATTTAGTCTTGCGTTTAGCAGACATAAAATAATTTAGCGGTCCTCTTAGGCGAGACAATAAAGAGAAAAATGGTGAAAGCCTATATGTTCGCAACTGCATTTCCGATGGAGGCGGAAATGTTGTAGGCCCGTGTGCTCAGATTTGGGTGCACGTTAAAGAACCCCAGGTGGTCGCAATTTCCGGAGCCCTCCACTACGGCGTCTCATAATCATATGGTGGTTTTGGAACAATAAACCCCACATATCAATCTATATTCTCACAACCTCGACGTTATTAGTTGACTGTAACGATTAAAGTCAACTTATTTAAAAGGCGGCTAAGTGTGCCTCGAGTTGTGCCGTTGCCCTGGCATTGAGAGTTTCAACTATACTGCACGCAATATCATAATGTAGTTCGGACGCCCATGCAATTTCACACTCTATGATGACATGGTTATGTCACGGAAGTATAGTGGTGGACAATAGAGTTCGAAATGAGCACAGGTGTCTTTCAACCAGGCATGCGCTTTTCGCACCACCCGTTCTGTTGCGCGAAATAAAAAGGAAACTTCACACTGCACCACGTATTTTTTATTCACTATGAATCAATAATACAGTTCTATACTGCCACTCCAGTCATCGACCACAAGTACGCCCGACTGCTGGAGAACATACCGACACGACACATCATGAGGGAGGTGGACGGCACCAAGGAGGACTTCAAGAGAAAAGCGGAGCTCATTCACTCCACGGACGTGGCGAACTTCTTCATTCTTGGCCGCGCCGACACGATGAACCAAGCCTTGGAGCTGGTGAGAGCCTTCGCGCCGCAGTATGGAAACGCGTGTACAAAGCTCTTTTGCAAGTGCTCTTCTGCAACTGCTAATGCTCTTCTGTTCTTCCGCTGTTCCGCAATTGCCAATAAAACGCCTGTGCGCTTTGACTATTATTGACAGGGTATTGTGAAAATGAGCGAAGATTTTTTTTTCTTTTGTGGAACGCAAACACTCTGGATGTCCCTGCAGAAGGCCCTCAACTCGGGCTTAGCATCAGCTCTCGTGTGCATCGTAGAGACCATATATGTTTTGCTTCTCAGCCTTCTCACTAATATGAATGAAAGTTAGTTTCTTTAAGGTTGATCTGAATTGCACCGACATTCTCGGTCAAGTTTATCAGTGTCGCCATTAACCGAGAAGTCGTTCTGTATACGTATCAAAAACAAACCCCGCGACCCAGCGCACAGCACCACAGTGGAAAACTTACTCTTCTGTACAACACATGTTGTTGGTCTAGTTAGTTCGTAACTATAGCTTTGCGTACAAACAAAATCAGTATGCCAAAACAAAAACAACAACAAAAAACGGGTGTGCTTAGATTCAGTTTCACAATAAAGAAACCCTACAGGTGATCGAAATGAATCCCAAGCCCCCCACTGCAGCGTTCATCATAATCATATCTTGCTTTTGGCTGACAAAAATTCTATAGAAATCAATATTTTAGTTATTTACAATGCGATTATTAGTATGATATAGTATGTTTTATTTTGCACAATATTCTGCCCCGCCACGGTGGTCTAGTGGCTAAGGTACTCGGCTGCTGACCCGCAGGTCGCGGGATCAAATCCCGGCTGTGGCGGCTGCATTTCCGATGGAGGCGGAAATGTTGTAGGCCCGTGTACTCAGATTTGGGTGCACGTTAAAGAACCCCAGGTGGTCAAAATTTCCGGAGCCCTCCACTACGGCGTCTCTCATAATCAAATGGTGGTTTTGGGACGTTAAACCCCACAAATCAATCATCAAAATCAATTTGCACAATATTCTAAGATTTGCCGTTCTGTTGACCCACATAACCAAGAGGAGATGTCAAAACTGTGAATGTACAAAAAGATAAAGCACAAAAATTATGCTTGTAATATAAAATGACAGGAATATATACCAACTTGCCCAGTATTCTACGTTACTTATATTATCCAGAATACTGCTTTGCGATTGCAAGCTTTAAGATAGCTACGTAAGCAGGTTAGTATTCGTATAGCTCGATTTAGTTACATATATTGAGATACCTCGTCCTTAAACTCCTGTTTATTGTTGTTGACATAACACGTAAATGTAATAAACATTTGCTGCATTCTAGGATATTCAGTGGTAACGCAATAGTTAATAAACCCCCAATGCGTTAAAGAATATGACTAACTCCATATCTAGTGGAAATACATTACTGCTTTGGCATACCTTCGTCTTTAAGGAGCCAGGGCCAGTACACGAAGCTACTAATACAGAGGGCGGAGAAAACACATTTGCGTAATACCACCTAATTTTCATTATCCGTGTGGTTTATTGTCCACTTCGCGTGTCCTATTGGAAGAAATGTCGTCCAGAGTGGTTCAGTAAATCAAGGTGAAAGTTATTCCATAAGCACTGAAATATTGTGTCTTACCTAAAGCATTAGTACAACCGCACAAACATGACTTGAAAATTTTTATTATTGTTGCTACCTTGTCAGCTGCATGTACAGTCGTCAGCGAGAATAACCCGAAGGCTCCGACATGCCACCTGGTCTACTTTGATTATTGCGAGCCGCGAAGCCCTGGGAGCCGTTGCCGAGACAATACGGCCTGCATGGGTCACATTTCGGCAACACAACCCCGAAGTTACACGGTGCTGGCATCAATCAAACTGTTTTAGGGCACGCTGCGGCACGTTCGTGTTAAGCTTTTTGACGACTGTACATCTTAACCTAAATACTCAATACAAGTTCTTAAACCTCTTGAATAACAAAGTATAGGCCAGAACTGTTCTAAAGAAGGCAAAATCTCTCAATTAAAATACAAGGACTGAAACTGTCTCAAAATACGGCATTATTTAAGTCGTTAATTCTTAAAGGTGTTGTTGATATAGCAAAGTGTTATGTGTTCACTTTGACCTTATGATGTCACGTAACACTGCAATACTGTGAAGAGATAAAAGCCTCCTAAAGGAAGTTCTACCACTGCATCATTTATTTCTGTCATCAAGTTGAAGATTCGACAGAAACATTTTATGGTACCTTCAACAAAGAGGTGTGTGCTCTACAGAATTGTGATATATCGAGGTTCAATTTATGTACAGCTCATTCTTGTGTTTGCTTCCACCAGGCTAACAGAAACAAGTGGAACAACTGGCAGTTTGCTTGGTTCCTTATCTCAAGGGTAAGTGTGTGGCCCTAATATTTATTCACCACATCACTTCACGTACGGTATTAGCGAAAGGAGAAAACAATGGCATACCGTACGTGGCATACAAATGTGAAGCTGTACTGGAAAATACTAGCCTAGTTAACGAGCGAGTAATCGCACATATGAGATTTTTAATCGTTTCTCTGAAAATGTGCAAAGACAGCTGCTTCGAGGGAAACAATTGGCCCTGTATATGCATGTTAATCGGCAAATGTCATCGAAAAACGATAGTCTTGCGCGTGGAGAGAGTGGACAAAACATTTATTTGATGTTCTGCACAAGAAAACTAATTAATGATATTTCGGAGGCGCTGCGTTAGAGGGCCTCGAGTGGTAAGTGGAGGTGAACGAGCGCATCAAGTCGCGCCACACGTGGGACATGAGCGCCATCTGGCAGTTTTCTTGGAAACCGAAGCGCGTGGCTCTGAGACGGGCGCGCACGCCCGTCTCAGATCCACGCGCTTCGGTTTCCAAAAAAGGCAAGCGTCGCTGACGATGCGACGCTTGCCTTTTCGTACAAGCGTCGCATTGTCAGCGCAGCGTGATAAGCGCTATAGTCCTTGAGATTACTTATGTATGCCTTTTCTAGTAAAAGACGCACATGCAGAATATATACGTGTTGTTATGATGCCCGAGACATGCGCGATAATTGCTTTTTAATTGACAATTGGACAAGTATGAACGCTACACCTTGAGCAACATTGGTGGGCGCTGCGGATGGGGTCGACCGTTTTAAGTACATAGTGTCGTTAAGAGTGGACAAACAGACAAATGTACAGACAGACAGACCAAAATTTTTGCGTCGAAGGTCCCCAAGAAAGACTCTCGTCTTTAAAAAGTCTGATGCGTATAACACGAAGCGTACCACACAATTCTATGTGGGTCAGCCCTTTCTGATGGTTTCATTCGCCGAGAGGCGGCTGCGTTACGGCGGCTTCTTGTCCACGGTCACCGAGGCCGTGAGCACCATCTAGCAGCAATAGTAAGTACCCCGGAGCCTACGGGGCACCATGCCCATTTTGTGACGCCACAATTCGCTAGTTGTGAGGCGCGGTGGTTCACAGTGGTTATGATACTCGGCTACTGACCCGAAGGTCGCGGGTTCGAACCCGGCGGTCACATTTTGAAAGAGGCGAAATGCTAGAAGCCCATGTACTGTTCCATGTCAGTTCACGTGAAAGAACACCAAGTGGTCTAAATTTCCGCAGCTATTCTCTATATCGGGTGTTGAAAGTTAAGTGCTATGGTTTTTTTTTTATTCAACTGTGGAAAGAACATGAAAACAACATTTGCGGATAACTCATGTATTCAGGAGGACACAAAGTGAGACAATAACTTTGGCTGTCAAAGGCCCAAATTACTAAGATTCAATAAACTTTTCAGTGACTGCAGCAAGCTGGCATATTTGTATTAAAAAGTTGGAGACACTCACGTTTCTACACAGTTACACTTGGAAGAATTCTCCTACCATGTCTGAGCTCCGAGATGTGCCACACAAAATTTCATTGTGCAGTTCATGATTACGCATGCAAGGCGGTGACCATCGGCGCAATGTTCCTCCCCGATGTGACGGACAGTCATAGCTTGCCATCGCCAGCCGGTAGAAAAGGGCAATGGTTATCATCGTTACCAATGCCTTCGACCCATTGTCAGAGTAAACGACGAACGCCACTGCCGCGGCCCACCGGAGAGGAGCATCGCGCCAGCGCTGACTGTATACTGCATGCGTAATCGTGCAAAGCACAGTTAAAATTTGCCGCGGAATATCTCTGAGCACAGACATGGAAGAAAAATCCTTCCAAGAGGAACCCTGTAGAAACGCGACTGCCTCCAACTTTTCAATACGAATATGTCTGCTTGCTGCAGTTGCTTAAAAGGTAATTAATAAATCTGTGTTAATTGGACCACTGAAAGCCATAATTATTTTGTCCCTTTGCCTCCTCCTGGATACATAAGTTTTCTGCAAGGTAGTTTTCATGTACTTCCCAATGCTGATTGTTTAGAAAACCATGAAGCTTAGCTTTGAACACCCGGTATACGACCTGCCTCATAATTATATAGTAATTTTGGCACGTGAAATCCTCTTGCATGGACTTCGGCAGGGGCAGAGGGTGCAAAAAGAGGCACTTGCATCCTTGCACCCCCCCCCCCTCCTAATCCACTTCACGATCTTCTCATTTGCTATTTTTCTCAGCATTCGTTATTTATTCAGGCGTTCGCATTTCGTCTTTACCTCATTTTCAGGCAGCGATGACTTTAGAAATAACAGCGAGATAACATGTGGAAGCTATATCAGAATATTGAAGGTCGAAGATTGATTGATATGTGGGGTTCAACGTCCCAAAACCACCATATGATTATGAGAGACGCCGTGTTGGAGGGCTCCTAAAATTTCGACCACGTGGGGTGCTTTAACGTGCACCCAAATCTGAGCACGCGGGCCTACAGCATTTCCGCCTCAATCAGAAATGCAGCCGCCGCAGCCGGGATCCCGTGACCTGCGGGTCAGCAGCCGAGTACCTCAGCCACTAGACCATCGCGGCGGGGCAGAAGCTCGAAGAATTGCCTGTTGATCATAGGATTGCCTGTAGACGAGAACAAGCCATGTGTTATGTATTTAGAAAGAGATAAGGCTACCTCGCCAAAAGATAAAACCTGGCGGACGCCTGCAAGAGTAGAACGCGTTACCCGTCACCTTCCCGTTCCCTTGCCGGCCATCGCTTCTCGATCGACCCGCACTGTGTCGTGAGGCGAGGAACGCCTACGCACGTAAACTCTCCCGGAATGCATGCCCATTCTGCAAGCACAGTCGCTAAGTGCCCACCGTGCCATAATTCACCATTTCATGGAACAGCGGAGTATATACGGGCTTCAAGTCCCGTAAGGCAATACGTGTAGCCGTGCACTTACACATACAGCTCCGCAACTTGTTGATGGCGTTGCCGATGGTGATGAAGAACTATGCCTGGGTCCTTCGTAATGAGTGGACCTATCAACTCAATGCGCAATTCACATGGTGTAACGTCAGGTGCTATTCTACGCTTCGGCTACGCAATATTGCAAGTTATCGAGATTCCGCGCACTGTAGTAATTATTTTCAAAGCCGTTTTAAGCGCTGGCATGACCTTGTGGTGGAAGACCTGAATGTCATGCAGAAACCTGGATTTGCTCTCTGCTCGAAACTGATCATTTTGATTGTTCGCACACATTGCAGATTTTCACAGCCAACGCCCCCGACACCGACACCAAAACTTTTGCGTCACTGGCTTTTAAACGCGATCATGTCCCTATAGCATTTATTTGATATGCCATTTGACAATAATTTATATGCGATGGCAAGTTGGCAGTATACTCTTTATTGTCATTTTTCTTTAATACCCCTTTGAATATACCTGTTTCCCAAGAGAGAGCTTAATTATTACAATCAATTCGGCGCATCGAGTGCCAGATGTTGCGTGTTGACGTTTGTCTCCCACCGGCAGGAGAACTACCGACCCAGATGTACTGAGTGCAACAACGTCACCTTCATCACAGCTACGCCGGAGCCGACCAACGATGACCTACTGGCAGAAGCCAAGAAAGACAAGGACTTCGACGTTCAAAGAGAACAGGTAGGAACACTTGCTGCCTTCTTCGCCGTGCCCACTTATTCCTTTAAACCAACGTCATTTCTTCAGCATAAATCAGATGAGAAAGATGGCATGATGAACAAAAAAACTCGTCACGCGTCTTGATTTTTTTTTCTTTTTCATACTTCAAGCACCCTGCGTACGCATAAATTATTCACTTGGTGAGTAGAATCGTTGCCACAGTGGGCAAAAAAATAAAGGTCGTTCTTTTTTTTTTCAAACTTTTACTTTGGTCGGCGCAGTGCCTCCAGGTTTTTTACCTTCAACCATGTATCACCCCGACCAGACGGGCTTCCGTCAAACTTTAAGCTTCATCAACCTTCGTCAGGCGTACGGCCAACCCGTCGTTCATTTTCTTCTCAAACTTGTACTTTGGTCGGCGCAGTGCCTCCAGGTTTTTCACCGTCAACCAAGGTCGTCAAGCATAGACCGAGTGGCAGGACAGGCACATCTGTCATTGAGAAAAAAGCTCAGCTCTTTTTTTTTCTTTGAATACCCTGTGCGGCCATGACACTATTTTGAACAATCATTCTAAAGAAATATTTACCGAGTCAGTTCTTACAATACAGGTGGTATTCACAGCAGTTGCATGAATTCAGAACTGATTCGGGTTGATCGCCGCCATCCTTTAGGCAACGGCGGATCCGTGCGGGGGCGTCAGGGATAAACATGTTCCCCCAAAGCCCGTGTCTCTCCCACCCAATCCTTTCATTGCCTCTCATTCATTTCGCATCACTTATTTAACCCCAGATTGATGCAGCAGAAATGGCCTATATCTAGAGTGCGGTAGCCTGTAGTTCGTTTGAATTCTTCCGATTTATTGAGATCGTGAAACTAAGTAAACAAGTGAGTTGGACCCTGTAAGAACAAGTTAACATCGATAGGGTACGGGACTGAACAACTTGGTATGGCTTTTTTTTTTATTCACGTCATATAAGGAGATGTTGGTGCACGAACAGGACGCCGGCTATGCCTTATTCCTTTGAAGGTGTCTAACATAGATCACGTAAAATCCAAGTCTTCAAGTGTAACAACTCCACAGCACATACAATATACATTTTAGCATAACATTTATGACATGAGATTGCAAAACAACGTATTTAACAATCACATATATGTCCAAATACGGTGGTGTTGTACAAATTGAAGAGCCTCCATTACATACACTCAACAGTCACATAACTGTCAACATAATAGTCAACGTGATAGTGAATAGACACATAAGTATGCACTGTGAAGTTAAAAAAACATAAGTACACTAGTATTGGCCAAGAAGGCCACCGTCTTCAAGAAAAAACATTCAATGGTTTTACGGCGCACTTGTGTAAACCTCTTGTTGGTCATGCGCCCAAAAGTTTCCTTAAACTGAATGGTCTTGCGATCTAAAGTCATTAAGAAAGGTCTAATTCGATCTTGCGAAAGGTCTTGCGAAAGAGCGCAAAAAACGAGGACACACAAATTAAAGAGGCCCTGCCACACTCTTTGAGCATGGCCAGAAAACACTGCTGGTCGGTAGTTCAGGCTAGCGAGAAAACGTGAGCCGTATATTATAGTGCAGCACACGGCCTGAAATTCGAATTAAAATCCTAGTCAGCTAAAATCACTTTTTCCGCACCGAAATCACTCTGAAAATCCGCGCGTTCGAAGAAAACTGGCAGTTGTTCTCTGTATTAGTACAACCGATGAGCGAAGCTTAGAAATGGAACGCAAAGGACTAGGCGGCTGATCCCGTCACTGTATTTCATAAAGGCGGTAATGTGGGGAGCGTTTTTTTAGAACCAGAACAGTTTCGTAGCTCCGCTCGCGAGCTGCGGTACGCGGGGCTGACACCCGAACTTGCATGCTGCAGCAAGCTGAAACGCGCGAGGAATAGCCGCTTGTGATGCTTTTCTCCGTGCACCCTTTCTTCGCGCGCTGTGCGGGATTTGCGAACACGCGAGACATGATGCAAGATGGAACTGCAGCGTCCCTAGTTGTTGCGTCGGCCATCGCTTCCATCTCGGAGAGCAAGCGGCGGGGAGCTTCCACGGCGATGACAGCAGGGTGCGAGCCTGAGAAGCTTCGCTAAAAAAAAATTCAGGGTCATGGGGTGCGCGTGGCGTGCCTTAATTTCTCATTCCATGCTATCCTCCCCCTGATTAGCTTCCAGCACTTTCGCCATGACGAACAGAGAGAAAACAGCAATCAAACCATGCGACAAGTATTTATAACTCGTCTCGTATGGGACGGATTCTGAAAATTTTTGCGGCGTGAGGCAAGAAGCCCCTTTCGTGAAGTCATTCAAGAGTAAAAGTGTTGCAAGGCTTCTTTAACAGTATTTACGCTATGGTGGGTTCTTGCCCCGCCGCGGTGGTCTAGTGGCTAGGGTACTCGGCTGCTGACCCGCAGGTCACGGGTTCGAATCCCGGCTGTGGCGGCTGCATTTCCGATGGAGGCAGAAATGTTGTATGCCCATGTGCTCAGATTTGGGCGCACGTTAAGGAACCTCAGGTGGTCGAAATTTCCGGATCCCTCCACTATGGAGTCTCTTATAATCATATAGCGGTTTTGAGACGTTAAACCCCACATATTGATCAGTTTTCAGCCTTATGTGAACCAAATATTTTTTCGTTATAGACATTATCGCAGCAGCTCTCTCATTTTCGGTTTCGTTTTAAAAGAGAGCAAGTGTCGCTGAAACGAAGCATCACCAACCAAACTTTTAATTTAGTAATCTATAAAAGACTACTTGCTGTGTATTTGTTCTTTACGAGTTTTAACTTTACTGCCTTCCAACCAGCGATTCACGGATGTGTGCAGCGTGCTTTCTATCTGGCCCGCTTTTTGGAGAGAGTTAATGAAACTGTGCTTGACAAATGGATGTACGGGGTGTGTCACATAACAAGAACAAGTGTTTAAAAAACAGAACTATTAAACCGCAACTAAAAGGACTCAACCACATACATCTGGTTTAGAATCGTCCAGTGCTCGTTAAGGGTATTTTGATATTTGACTAATTAGTTTATGAACAAAGTTCAGTTTTCAAAACTATTTCATATTGAATTTAAGAATAAGCGTCTTTCGTTACATTGTAGAGGGCATTCCAAAATGATCGATGCCCCGCCGCGGTGGTCTAGTGGCTAAGGTACTCGGCTGCTGACCCGCAGGGCGCGGGTTCGAATCCCGGCTGCGGCGGCTGCATTTCCGATGGAGGCGGAAATGTTGTAGGCCCGTGTGCTCAGATTTGGGTGCACGTTAAAGAACCCCAGGTGGTCTAAATTTCCGGAGCCCTCCACTACGGCGTCTCTCATAATCATATAGTGGTTTTGGGACGTTAAACCCCACATATCAATCAATCAATCCAAAATGATCGATCTAATTTTTTGTTGCGATGCAAATTCTGCGCAGTGATTTCTGTACAGCATTTTTAAAAAAAGTACCATGAAATATGAAATAAAACCATGTGACTGCACTCATGTGCTACATTGTGCAGCATACTGAACAGTGCACGAAGATTGTCAACCTACTGCTTCTATTTAAATCAATGTCAGCAGACAAACAGCGGCGTAGCAACGTGAACTCGCACGCTGAATAAAGAAAACAATATGCATCAGCATAAAGAACGGAAGTATAAGCATATATTCGGTATCTTAATCCCTCGACGTGTAGTGATGTACTGCTGTCTGACAAGCTGTGCAGCCGCTGCTGTGTGCAGAGCTGTAGCCGCTCATTTCGCCACAATCGGCACACACGGTTCTTTCGTTATAAGCTTTGAAAAGGTCAGGTCCCCATTGATTTGCCGTTCACCAAACGCGAATTCCCTGGTTTTGTATGGCTACAAAACGTAACACTTCGCTCGCGTCGCCATACTGAGCCATTGTCTCATTCTTGTCCTTCCTGGAAGTGAGCTGCTGTGACTACCACTCAACAACAAGCTGCAGTCAACAAAATCAGCCTTTTCACACCCAAAAGCATTAAAACTATGATGGCGGTGGTGATGCATGGTGGTGATGTGATAACGTGGCCATAGTCGGTGTTAGCCTGGCAGGCCCGGTTGGCGATTGCGCTGAGTGAGCAATCCTTTTCATATAATGTGTCATCAGTGATCACCATGTATCACCTATATCTAAAGGGCACCACTATCAAGTACAATATTTTTTTTTTATCGAGACCAGTCACTGTGCTCTACCACCTAGCTGAGATCGTCGCGCAATTTTGTTGTAGAGATACCACGAGCTCAGTGTGCGCTTATAATGCAGGTTGACGCGGCCTTCTACATCGACGTCACGAGGATGATCATCCGAGCAGCTAGCCAAGAGAGAGCGAGCAGAAGGCTTCCACCCGACCTGGAACACCCAACGTGCACCAACATGAATCTTACCAGTTCCATGCTGATGGCTCGCCGGAACATCACACTCAGAACGACGATGATGGAGGTGCGTGCAGTGCGTCTCTTGTCAGATTCCATTTCCATGGTCGGTAAAGGGAACAGCGTAAGGTTAAACTTAAACAAAAATTCAAAGTTGTTTTTTGCTTGTTTGAAGAGATAAGGCATTTTTTGACAATACTCAGTGGCCCACACTTCTTTTCGCGCTTTGATTGTGGCAAAAAGACCAAGTTTTCGAGACAAACTGATAAAACGCGAAGCCTTTTTTTTTCTGAAACGATACACAACCTGACCTTTCTGTTAAAGTGATTTTTTTTTTCAATGAAATCTGGTAGTTCCCCCGAGCTTCGCAGGTTTTCTTTTTTCTTTTTTTGCATTCAGGCTTCTTAAAATCACATAATGGACCCTTTTTTTTTTTGAACACCCATTGCGTTTACCATGTCCACTTACCTTGTGTTTATAAGACAAGGTCGCAGACGTGGTTCTGTGCATATATGTTCAGTTTAGTTGCGTCTAGGTTGATTCTGTGGCAACGGCGGTAGATATTATCGTGTTGACAAATGAAAGAAACTATCTCGAGAGCACAGTATAACTGTAAATCGACAAGCTTCGCCTACTAACAGAAACAAGACCGGCAGAACTAGGAACTTATGCGAACACTTCAGCAAGTAAGCCATGTCCTCATTACGCGTCGCCGAAAGAACAAAATGTTACCTGTAATTACAACAGCTATGGTTTGATCAATGTGGTGCTTCTAAAGAACCGTGATTACGAGTAACTTTGTCGGCTCAAAATGCAGAGGAACTGTGAGACTTGTATAGAGCACAGTAGATTGTTTTCTTAAGGATTGAAATCTTCAGAACTGCCACCTTTCTAACTCTTTTAACTTTGGTGGCGGCCTGCGTGTCCCAAATAAACGTTGTTAAAGCCGCTTGACACATCAGTGATACGCAACACTGCTGTATGTTTCTATCAGATGGACCATCACTGACAGTATTCCGCCATTAGGAAAAAGGAAGGTAGGACAAAACAAGCCGAGGAAAGAGGCATAAAGCTGATTCGTGTGATAACAATAAGGCAACTTGCTATGGAATAAATTCTTCGGTACGTCTTGTCGAACTAAACATGAAATAAAATTGTTTTTCCTATTTAAATTCTTATATCTCAAAATCAATTTTTGTTACAATTGCCGTATTATGAATACAACTAAAAAAACACGAGGCAGTCTTTTATGAAGATACTAAACTAGAAGGATGCACATACGCGGAATAGCTTTATTTATTTTGGCCATTTTTTTGGAAAAAATAATGACTAATATTACTAGCTTTGCTGAAATAATAACCAAAATGTCAACGCTTGAAATACAACTATAACTCAAGTTCCACTGCAAGAGGAGACGCCGATGAATAACGTGAAACCAACTTGAAAGCTTTACACGGAGTAGTTTCAGAATAAATAAGTATTAAAAGAAGCCTCTAAATGCATGGGAAATATAGGCCCTGTGCCATTAAAGGATCCCGATACCAAATTCGGAAACTCAAGATGCTTGTTGAATCCTGCAGGTGTGTGAGGGGGGGGGGGGGGGCATTTTCGACCGAATATTAGCGATGAGCGTTGCCTATGACATAATTTACGTAGATTTTTAAGGGGCCTTGCAACACTTTTGTAAGCATGGATTTACTAATGGAGTTCATTGCTTCACGAATTCACCTCTGCAAAAATTTTAATAATCGGGCTAGTACGAGCAGATTTACAAAGATTTGTCGCACGCTGCAGTTGCATTCTCTCTTCTCTCGTCCCAACGAAAGTGCTGGAAGCTAAGCAGGGAGGGATGGCACGGAAAAAGTAAACACGTCACGCCCGTTTCGTTACCACGAGCGCTCTTTCTCTTTTTTTCTTTTTTTCGAATACGCGGCTTTTTCGTGCGATCGCACGCATGCGGGTTGACAAACCACGGCTTTTCGCAGTGGCGAAGTAACGATCAACCGAGCCATGCTCAAATCAACCATTGTCGGATGCAATACCTGTGGTAAGTGATTTTACAGTGAAAGCTGTACATGGCTAGGAAAAACGTGAAAACCTGTCCGGCAGCGGCGTCACGAGTAGCCTCCATTGGCTGCCCTATCAGTTAGTCATTCGCAGCGTCGTATACCCAAGCACGCGCGCCATTGGCTGCATTGTGAGTGACGTCGTCCATCTCATCACAGCTGTGCGGCCGAGCTCACACGCATCAGTTTCTCCTGAAACCTTCCACATGGGTAGGCCCCGGACAACTTCAGATGAGCGCTGACAGTGGAAACACGAGAGAGCTCGTATTCGCCCAGCTGATGGTGCAGTCCTGGCACAGAAACAGGCCCGGGAGGCCGAGTGCCGGCAGCAGTTCTGCGTACCGATAATTCGGCAGCCTTCAAATCCGCACTAAATCGCGAATGGGAATGCAAGCACTGGTGGTGGGCGGATCCAGCAAACCACGCCACGGAGTTCGCTCACAATATCAAATGCTTGCAACAACGCCACGCTGCAAAATGAATACGTGGTTCTTGAAGGGGAAAAGGCGCCTAATTTCTTCCTGCCTATAGGTGACATGGTGCAGTGCCTACACCCAACAATTAGGTTGCGTTGCGGTGTCAACGGGATGATTGCCGGAGCACGTTCGCCGTGAGTTCCTGTAGCAGTACTTTGGCTTCGGCTGCGACGTCTGTGACCGCCTGTGGTGCGAGAACAACCGCTCTAATTAACGCTTTGCGAAACGCATTTAACCGCTCATTACACTCCTACATGATCGTGATCATGCGAAGCACGTCGTGCGGCATGCAAAACAAACGCTGTGGTAAACCCAAGCCAAACGTGTGTCTAACCTCATTATTAAGCACAAAGATTGGGCCAACAATTGTGAAAGGCTTCAGTGTCACGTCGAATTGAACTCACTGCAAAACACCAGGGCCGCACGCTTCAGCTTTCACTGGTTTAGCTTTTTTTATTTGTTTGTTGAGCTTGTATTGTGATTTGTCGAGATAAGAAAAAGTAATTTTTAGCTAACTTTGAGAATTTATTGTGAATTTCAGGCCGCGTGCTGCGCTATAATATTTTGCCCGCGTTTTTAGAGAGCCTCGACTAGCGATCGGCAGTGTTTTCTGATCATGCTCACAAAGTGTAGAAGGGCTCCTTTAAAGGAAAAAGTGAGTGCTCATCTGAGTATTCAGGTCCAATAGACATTTTCTGTGATTTGCCATATTTCAGATGCAGTACGTGGGACCGTTCGGGCCCGTCGTGATACGAGAAAGGGAAAACGGGTACCAAGAGATCAGGATGTCCGTACAGAAGGTCAATATCCCACGGAGGCCAAAAAGGACGACTTTCACCACGGTAGGCTTCATTTTAATCCCCGTTTTAGGAGCCGGTAACAGACGTCATCGCCATAAAACTACACCGTCATCTATATTGTTTGGATACATTAGAATGATGGAGTTAGTTAATCTTGTAATGTCTCTCAGCACAGTAGCTGGTTATTTCTATTTTCTCTGTTCAGTCGTCACACCAAACTTATTGCATTCTGCAGAGGTTCACCTTGCGTGATGCGTGTGATATCTTAAAGATGGAGTGCTTCTTTGTACTGGCCTAAAAGTCACTGAATGGCATAACTCTCTAATGTGTTGCTTTGTTTCTCTACCCTAAAGAGCGCAGCAGAGTAACTTTTGGTCACTGTTTCATGCGGCTAGTGAGGTATAACGTCATAACTACACCGAAACTTCAACGAAAAATATAGGTTGCGCCATGTGTCTTTATATTTTTGCAATGCCAACAGTTGGTTTTTGTCACTGGGGAGCCAGAATGACCTACTCTATGTTGCTTCGTGATCTCACTATTTTGCCAGAACCAAGGCTTACAGCGATGTGCCCCTCTTCCAGTGTCGTCATACATGACATTCGTACCAGTCTTGGGCAGTAACTAGTTACTTTTTTCAATAACTTGTAACTGCAACACTATTTTTTACAGAGTAACTGTAATGCGAAATGCCGTCAAAGATATATATATATATATAGCGAAACAGCTGAAACGCAAAATGCCATGAACTGGCACGAAGCAATGCTCCGTGTATAGAGACAAAAAAAAAAAGAATAGGAGCGGACGTCGATCAGTCCATCAGCATCAGCCAAACATGACCTAGCAAACATTTGCAGAAATCCTCCTTCCCCCTGCCTCCACTACTCCTTCCTTTCATGAGGTAGCATCGTGGCATTGTATAGCTCGAAGCTATGCCCTGTCCAGCAGTGTTGAACGAAATCAGTTTAACATGGGCGTAGCAAGAGGGGCAGGGGGGTTAAACCTTCCACGAAATATTTCAATTTTGTTGAAATTTTGTTGCTCCGTAGCACGGTTTCTGCATGCAGGTAGTTGCGCAAAGGTTCGTTGAGCGGCTGCACCATTGTAGTGAGTGAGACATACACAACACCCACCCGTTCATAAAGCAAGCTGCTCTACTCCGCCTCTTCTTCCACGTTGTCCAGCCCATGCACCACAGCTGCTGTGCCACTCTTTATTACAGCATATATATATACACACACAAAAGTGCACGCACATACATTAAATATAACTCACCTCTGCCCCCCCCCCCCCAATAAAAACAAGAAAAACATTCTGGCTACACTCCTGCCACGTAACAGCGCCTCGCATTTAGTTGATATGAGCAACTTTTTATTTTGTCGTCCTTTCCTGATCTTTTGCTGCTTGTTTCGCCGATGTAGTTATGTTGCATCGCAGTAACCGCGTCGTACTTAGAGGTGATCTAGCACTAATCATGTGCCGGTGTGCCATTCGATTTCGCGAACATGTGTTTCAATGATTTGTAGGCATAGCGGACGCAAAACTCTTCGAACAGGTCTGGTACACCTTGAGGAACGTAGGGAAGGAACATCGTCAATGGACGTTTGACTCGTTACGCACGTCGCATACCTCTTCGTAACTAAATAAATCATTTGAAACGTAAGCCATGCTTTACTTTGTCCAGTAACAGAAAAGTAACGACCTTACTTTTTTACGGTAACTGTACTGTAACAGAGTTACTTTTTTGGCCTATGTAACTGTAACATGGTTACTTTTTACTGGTAAAGTGACCATGAGTGATTCTTCCATACAAGTTGCGTGACTATACACATGCGGTGGTAACAAGGAGTTCCACTGTTTAGGGTACAGATACACGCTGCAGGTGTCTGCATTCACTTGCGGCAGTGCGCATTCTAGCCCACCTTTTCTTCAACCTTCGATTATGTCATTCCAAGAACAGCAGATTAACGTAGAGACAGCTGCCTACTACTGAACAGATTAATTATAGCCCAGCTGTACTGTTGGCTTGTGAAATCAGATGCAAAATAAAAAAGGCATTACCAGAATTTCAACTTCGTGTAGTTGCATGTATACGTGCAAAGTTTGACCGATTTGGAAACAGTTTCTAAATGTAACATAGTTGCAAGTCTGCATTGAACTGTTTCAAATACAAGTTAACCAGGCGGTGGTACAAATCGTTGAAGTACTTCTAGAATTTTTCCATATTTGCGCTTAATACATAGTTATATATTTTAGGTTGCAAACTGGACGTACAAAGACCCAGACGGAGTGCTGGTGGAAAGCCCGGGAGAGGATATGAAAAAGTATGCTGCGGTCACAGTGTTTCGAGTTACCACAATCGTCGTAAGTAGAACGAAAGAAGTACTTTTGCTAAACTAGAGATTTTATTAGATGCGAAGCAGCTTAAAATTAAGCTCAATCCGGTGTTGTTGTTGTTGTTGTTAGTGGTTCATGAGGAAAAGGAAGAAGGCACCTAATTTCTGTCTGCCTACAGGCGACACGGCGTGCCCTTGCTGCGGATGTGCGTTCACTCTCTCTCTCTCTTTGGCCTCGCAACGCCAACGCAGGGAACGACTGCTAACCTACGATCTCTCCCTTTCTCTCTCCTCTAGGCATTTCTCCTCGCGGCCTTTACACCCCCATAGCGCATGCACATCCCCTCCCTCTCTCTCTTTTTCCTGCGCTCCCCTCTCTCGCCTCGCAACGTCGAGACAGGCAGCGCCTGCGAGCAAGCTTCTTGATTTAAAAAACCGACTGCTCGCGCAGCACACCCATTCAACAGCCACCCGATGTATAGGGGCTTTGCGTATACATAGCCACTGGCTTTTGACCTCCAAGATAGTGCCGGTGGGAGATTTCTCATGTGTGTTGTTGAGCAATAAAAATTCGCAGCGTCCGCGTTAAGTAAAAGCGGACAGCGGGTAACTGTGTCCTATCACAGTTTTCTGTCTCTCATTGACCGTTATAAGCAATTGGCATGTTCCAGTAGAAAACACCGCGGTCCATCACTGAGTGCTTTGCGCCTCCCCAGGTTTCTCTTATGCACAACGCCAAGAAAAGTGCCAGGCTCAACGTCGCTGCCAGTGTAAGCGTTATCGCCGGCTGCTGCACATCTACGCATGGTTTCCTTTAGCAAGAGATAGCAATTTGTTTCACCTTCAAAACATTTTAACATGAACTATTTGTGTGTTCAGTCATGCTGTCCAATTTCGATTGGAATTGATCCAAGTTATCATCATACAGTCTTTCAACTGTATCATCCAGTGGCCCCAGCCCCCAGTAGAGATCAATTGGCCTCAGTTGGCCTCCTACTGGAAATAGATGTGAGCTTTTTAGCTTGCCTACAACTGGGGCTAGATAGGAGCCACCTGGTCTCTGATGGCTTCCTACAGGGTGCAGTTGCAAATTAGATGGCAGCATTTGGTGTCAGGCTGGGACCAGGTAGTCACAGTTCATAAGTAGTTACACAGTTTTACTTGGTAATATAATTCATAATGAAACGAATAAAAAGTGCTTTAAGATAAGAACAGAGAAGGAAAATCACATTATGTGCTAACATTTTTACTGCAGCAGACATTAGATGCAAAAAGAATGCCTGCTAGCACATGCAGTTAACAATGTTACATCAGTGTGAGTGAAAAAAACGTAAGAAGTTTAAAAAGAAGAGAAATTTCTTCTCAGCTGTAAATGTTGTTATCAAAAAGATAAAAGTGATAGTTGCACGTGACCTTGAGATACATTATCTAAGAAACCACGGAAGTTTTTTTCCTGCTAAGGGGTAATGCTGTGCTGACACAGTCTCGCTTCCTAAGAATTGCATGAACTTCCACAACCAGCGGCTGGAAATCTTGGCAATAGTTATTTTTTTAGCTTTTTAAATTGCTCTATTACGTCTTTATTCCCACATTGGCATGGCAATGCGAATTGCGTATGTCCTAGCAACCTTTGTTTTTCATATACTACCTTGCGTCCAAGAAAGAAAACGGGCCCTTAAATTTACAGTTTCCCTCATTATTAGCGAGGGCCCCATTCTGGCAAACTTGATGCATTGGGGTGGTATTCGACGGATAATTGGTCAGCCGCCAACTCGTGGTAAGATCACCTACTACATGATGCCAAACAGGCAAGAAAGAGTGTTCCACACTCGACGTCGTGGCAACAAGGGGCGCTGACTGACGCCCCCAGTTTAAATATATATATATATGTCATCAGCAGCAGCAGCAGCAGCAGCAGCAGCAGCAGCAGCCTGACTACGTCCACTGCAGATCAAAGGCCTCTCCCATGTTCCGCCAGTTAACGAGGTCCTGTGCTTGCTGCTGCCAATTTATACCCGCAAACTTCTTAATCTCTTTTCCCACCTAACCTTCTGTCTCCCCCGAACCCGCTTGCCTTCTCTGGGAATCCAGTCAGTTACCCTTATAGACCACCGGTTATCCAGTCTACGCGCTACATGCCCGGCCCATGTCCATTTCCTCTTCTTGATTTCAGCTATGATATCCTTAACCCCCGTTTGTTCCCTAATCCACTCTGCTCTCTTCTTGTCTCTTGAGGTTACACCTACCATTTTTCTTTCATTGCTCGCTGCGTCGTCCTCAATTTAATCTGAACTCTATTTGTAAGTCTCCAGGTTTCTGCTCCGTAGCTAATTACCGGCAAGATATAGCTGTTATATACCTTCCTCTTGAGAGATAGTGGCAATCTACCTGTCATAATTTCAGAGTGCATGCCAAATGTGCTCCACCCCATTCTTATTCTTCTAGTTACTTCAATCTCGTGGTTTGGCTCCGTGGCTATTACCTGCCCTAAGTAGACATATTCTTTTACAACTTCAAGTGGACTATTACCTACCTCAAAGCGCTGCTCTCTTCCGTGGTTGTTGTACATTACTTTCATTTTCTGCAGATTAATTTTAAGACCCACCTTTCTGCTCTCCTTGTCTAACTCCGTAATCATGAGTTGCAATTCGTCCCCTGTGTTACTCAGCATTGCAATGTCACCGGCGAAGCGCAGGTTACTAAGGTACTCTCCATTAACTCTTATCCCTAACTGTTCCCATTCTAGGCTTCTGAAAACCTCCTGTAAGCACGCCGTAAATAGCATTGGGGAGATTGTGTCCCCCTGCCTTACACCCTTGTTGATTGGTATTTTGTTGCTTTGTTTATGAAGCACTATGGTAGCAGTTGATCCCCTGTAGGTTTCTTCCAGGATGTTTATATATACCTCATCGACGCCCTCATTCCGCATTGTCTGCATGACGGCTGATATTTCTACTGAATCAAATGCCTTCTCGTAATCAATGAAGGCTATGTATAGTGGTTGGTTCTATTCTGAGCATTTCACTATTACCTTATTGATAGTATGAATGTGGTCGATTGTTGAGCAGCCTGTTTGAAATCCTGCTTGTTCCTTTGGTTGATTGAATTCTAATGTTTTCTTAACTCTGTTAGCAATTACTTTTGTATATAGCTTGTATACTACGGAGAGCAAGCTGATCGGCCAGTAATTCTTCAAGTCCTTGTTATCTCCTTTCTTATGTATTAAGATGATGTTAGTATTCTTCCAAGACTCTGGTACTCTTCCCGTCAGCAGACACCTCGTAAACAGGGTGGCTAGTTTTTATAACACAATCTGTCCTCCATTTTTCAGCAGATATGATGTTACCTGATCCTCACCACCAGCTTTGCCTCTTTGCATGCTCTCCAAAGCTTTCCTGGCTTCTTCTATCATTACTGGTGGGGTGTCATCTGGGTTACTGCTAGTTCTTATAGTATTAGGGTTGTGGTTGTCCCGGCTACTGTACAGATCTCTGTAAAACTCCTCCGCTATTTCAACTATCCTATCCATATTGGTAGTTATTTTGCCTTCTTCGTCCCTTAGTGCATACATCCGATTTTTGCCTATCCCAAGTTTCCTCTTCACTGCTTTGACGCTTCCTCCGTTTTTCAGAGCGTGTTCAATTCTCTCCATGTTATACTTTCTTACATCGCATACCTTACGCCTATTAATCAAATTTGAAAGCTCTGCCAGTTCTATTTTGTCTGTTGTACTTGAGACTTTCATGATTTGGTGCTTCTTGATGAGATTCTTCGTTCCCTTGGAAAGCTTGCCAGTGTCATGTCTAACTCCCCTGCCTCCAACTTCCACTGCACACTCCGTAATGATACTCGTCAGATTATCATTCATTGTATCTACGCTAAGGTTGGTTTCCTCACTAAGAGCCGAGTACCTGTTCTGAAGCGAGACTCTGAATTCCTGTACTTTCCATCTCAGTGCTAGCTCATTAATTGGCTTCTTGCGTACCAGTTTCTGTCATTCCTTCTTCAAGTCTAAGCGAATTCGAGACAGTATCATTCTATGGTCACTGCATCGTATCTTGCCAACCACTTCCACATCCTGCACGATGCCTGGGTGTGCACTAATTATTGTCTATTTCGTTCCTATTTTCGCCATTAGAGCTCCTCTATGTCCACTTACTGTTTTCTTGTTTTTGGTAGAAAGTATTCAAAATCCGTAAATTATTGCGTTCTGCGAATTGTACTAGTACCTCTCTTCTGGCGTTTCTAGTGCCAATGTTATAATCTCCTACTGCCTGGTCTCCAGCCTGCTTCTTCCCTACCTTTGCATTTAAGTCTCCCATCAGTATAGTATACTGTGTTTTTACATTGCTCATTGCCGATTCCACGCCTTCATAGAAGCTTTCAACTGAAGCGTCATCATGGCTGGATGTAGGCGCGTAAGCCTGTACCACCTTCATCTTGTATCTTTTATTCAGTTTAATTACGATACCTACCACCCTTTCATTAATGCTATAGTATTCTTCTATGTTGCCAGCAACGTTTCTGTGAATTAAGAAGCCCACTCCCAGTTTTCTTCTGTCAGCCAAGCCCCTATAGCAAAGAACGTGCCATTCTGTAGCAACGTATAAGCCTCATCTGTCCTCCTAACCTCACTGAGCCCTGTTATATCCCATTCAACACCCTCTAGCTCCTCGAATAGCACAGCTAGACTTCCCTCACTAGATAAGGTTCTAGCGTTAAACGTTGCCAAGTTCAGGATATATATATATATATATATATATATATATATATATATATATATATATATATATATATATATATATATATATATATATATATATATATATATATATATATATATATATCTTAAGTCCTCCTAATAAGCGGACAGGGGGATGACGGCCACCATAGCTCAGTGGTAAAGCATCGGACGCATTGTTCGAAGGTCGCAGCTTCGGATCCTGCCAGTGGCAAGTTATCTTTCCGTCCGCTTTTCATTCTTCACATTCATTAGAAAAACTTCCAATAACATTCCCTATACTTTTCCTGACATTGTTGTCTGTTATTTCTTATGAATATTGTGTCTAACAAAGTAAACGAGTGCTAAAATTTACACTTTTCTGCAAAAATGTTGTTAGAGCATCCTGTTTCATCCCTTCTTTCTCCTCGTAATATAAACACTGTTTATTCATTTTCCTATGCAACAACTACACTCGCCCAATGACATTCACTTTTGTGGAATATAATTACTTGCCAAAAAGATACTGTGCGTTTTCAATAATTCTCTGTAGTTCGTGACGTTTCCAGATATCGTTAACCCTTTGCAGGGCAGCGGCATTCATATATCCTAATTTTTTCTTAACCGTGTTCTAATTTTTTCAACCAAAACCATTGAATAGATTGCTGTAAACTATAGGTGCAACTGGTTCGTTCCTTTAGAAAGCGGCTTTAGTAGTTGTTTTGATGGTATTCACAAGGTCGCAGAACACACACATGCTCCAAATGAACCATTTCACTTCTATGCGCTGTATTTTTTTTTCCATCAGATTTTTGTGCGCTCTTCACCCAATTCAGTATAAGACGCAAGCTTGAAAAGCTAATTTCATACTTATGAGTTTCTAAATGTGCGATTATACTGGTTTCCTTCGTTCTTGCTCCCACATTTTTCTAAAAAATTGTGCAATGCAAGATTGACAATCATTCAATGATATATTTTTTAAAGAAGATCCAATTTGACATTATGTACTGCTGATTGCAGTATCCAATCTTCATTTCGCTTCATGCAGGAATGTCTCTTCCTGTAGAGGAAGCACTTGAGCTTCATCCAGAGAAAAAATTTAGACTGATGAAGGCGTGCACGACCAGTAACTACATTTGCTGCTCGAGTGCCGTTATATCAAGTGGGCGTACAATGTACATTTAGTTGACCTTTTTGTAATAGGGAGTTTGGGTTTAGCCTCTCTCGTTGAGCACAAGCCAGCAGTAAGCTTGCATTAAAAGATCTAAAGTGTTTTTTTTTTCTGAAACGGCTCACTTTCAATAGGTAGTAGGACACATACACAGATCCCACTTGTTTCCTGAAAAACCCTCAACAGTAGAGATTTTAAATTTAGCTCATATTATAAGAAGTTGTTGCAAACGATAATGCTGCCTTCAACAGTTGGCATGCATTGCTCGTAACATCATGCCCCATTAAGGTGCTACAGGCACACTTGTATAGTCAAGTGGTTGGATATGGTCCCAATACTTCAAATTTTTTTTTTACTGTGACCATTACACTTTCTTTTTAGTGCCAAATTAGGTATCATATTTTTTAAGTGAAGCTTGTGTATACTGCAGTGCATTGAAATGTCAATATCTTCTGATTCGGAGCAAAACCACACCTCACATTCCAATATAGTTATTCTATGTAAAAATTTATTGTTTATTCTTCTTATGTTCATTTATCCAAGAACCATTCTTATTGATGAGCACCAAATGAGACACATGTGATTTGCCAAGTTTGATTATCGATTGTTTTCTCTGCTCCCGAGAGTTTAAATGTCCCAGTTATTTAAACGACCGCTAAAGACTACTGAGCTAATGCTTAAGAGCACAGTGCCAATTTAAACAGAAAAGTTGCACCCCATTGATGCTGATTATCTCTGCTGCACCCAGCAACCACCGTTCATTGTCAAAAAGAACACCAGCAATGGAGAAGACGAGTTTGAGGGCTACTGCATTGACTTAATTGACGAAATCAAGAAGATACTGAAATTCGAGTACACCATCTACGAAGTACAGGACAAGATGTTTGGCTCCATCAACACCACTACTAAACAATGGAACGGAATGATCCGGGAGCTGGTCGACAAGGTAAGCTGGCTGATTATTCTAAACTGCAGGCCAACATGCAAATGTCTAGTTGTTTATACCCTGTAAAAACTCTCTCTAATGCTCTCCTGTAGCTAGACTGCCAGAGTTCCTGATGGATAACTAAGTGAGCTGATCTTCATTGGTAAATTATGCGAGTATATTTGTTAGACTGGCATTCACCAGAACAGTCTAGTTTAACAGCTTGCTAGGGTTGCTTCGCAATGATTTCTTAATTTTAAGGTGGAACGACAGGCAGATGCTCTTCAGGAAGGTGCGGTTCAAACTCAATTTAACAAAGTGATGACCACATTCGAACTATTTCGTTAAATCGAGAAATTCCTAAAATTAAGAAAATTTCGTTTGTTCGACATCCACAAAGGTAATTAGGCGAAGCTTGAAAGCTACCATGACGATGCCTGTGTTGAAGTCACACTTGTACGTGTGACATGTGCATAAGGGTGCTACACGCACATGTGAGGCCCCATGTCTGGGCGATGCAGGCCAGCACGTCACGTCATCCTGGGGTGCTGGCCTGTAAAAAACGTGGAGAATGAATACAGTGACTGTGCGAACAAACCTAGCAAGAAAGTTGCGAGGACACGATCGTTAGCATCTGCCGCATAAACTATGGCATGATAAAAACAACCAGTGCCATCGCTTGCGCTAGCTGTTCAATGGGAAAGTCACCGATATCTTAATTTATTGTTCTGTGCATGAGCACGTCAATCAGTCTCCTCGAAACAAAGTTAGGACCATGACTCAGGTGCATTCATGTATCACGTGACAGCATTAGAGCACATGCTCGAAGAAAAACCCATCTATGTCAAAATAAAAATGAAATCATTGCATTTCACTAGTTTAGAAAAAACTTTGTTAAGTTGGGTTTCATGGTCAAGTTAGCTTCGTTCCTTCGGGTTGATCACAATATTGAACTCTGTAGGTCAGTTTCAAGGTCTGCAACTTTCTTCTTTACATCTAAAACATCGTGTTTTGTTATATCGAGTTTTTAACTGTATAAGATTGAATTTAGGAAGGTAAAGGGACATAAAAATTTCTAGGGTTGCAAGTTGCTTTATCAAGAGTAATAATAGCTCAATCTGTACAACAAACAAGAATACATCTTTCGAGCTGGGTGGCGGAAGGCTGTTTTTGTGCAGCCTGAAAAGGCACACTTTTTCACATTATAAGAATAGCCAAGCAAGACAATGTGCACATGTAGATGTACATTTTAAATTATCAAAGCTTCTAAAACAAGAAATCACTTCTGAAAGAACATTTTCACAATTAAGCAGATTTTTCTAGAGAAGTTCCCATTTTAAAATTTCCCTTTTTGCTGAAAAATGCCTGCAAAGAACTTTCTTACCATTTTTTCCATCGAACCACTGGCCCCTGAAGCGTCAATATACAATCAATGGGTGTGAAACTTTACTGTAAGTCCTGAGGTGAATGACTCAACATGCAGCGGGCCGCTCCCATGTTGGGACAGTGAGGCCAAGCGCAATTGCTGCATTGAGGGCCCTATCTACAGCTCACAGTTGATCGCCGACATCAGGGCTTTTGATATAGTGTCAAGTAAATTATTTTCTACATTATGACACATCTTGACACCCTATACAAAAATACATACTCAAATCTATGACAAATATATCCCAGAACTAACATCCCCTTGACGAAATGTTTAAGGGTTCCGACATGTCAGCACATAGAAAATATTTGTGCCACCAAAAGTACAAATTTTTTGTATGAAGAAATCTATGACATGCATTACCCAATCCAGCAGCTGTAAGTAAATATGCCCGCTCTACAGCTTTCATAAAAGTGCACCACCAACAGTACCTAAATGCTGTGCTGAAGCATACTTTGCTAAGTGGCTTATTAATAAATGTGGGATAAAGGGGGTATGGTTGAGTAACTCACTAAATGTGAAATTTTCATTTAGAATGCAAAAAAAATTATTGGCGCAAAAAGAAAAACTCGCGGAAATGCAAGCTCGAGAGCCTTTTCAAAGTGGTCTTAAATGTTCTAGGTCTTGACGTATGAAATGACGAAAAAACAGGGTGACATGTGTGTCCAACATGTAGCTGTGTCAGTGTCATTTTGTGCGCTGAAAGCTACATCATGTCACTCCAATGCAGTCAAATTTGCTTCGTTATTAGGTTTAACTACCACGTCGAATTGTTGTACGCGCTGAAAAAAAAATTGGTGGAGTGATAGAGAGGGATAAATGCCCTGTTTTTTTTAAATATGTTTCACTGTTTATTCATTATGACGCTGTTTTATTTATTTATATTTTTATTAAGTGTTCAGGTACTAAGTTATGTGTGCTGAAGCATTAATTATTGCTGAATATATAATTTCTTATCGTTGATGTGCTGCCTGCCAGTCGGGTTCCTGTACCTGGTGTTCTCGCTCCAACTATTTTTGTTGTCAGGTGCCTGTTTTGCTTTTCAAGTGTCTCACTTGCTCAGACGATGTCATGATTATATAGCAAATGGGCTATGACAAGAATTTAGAACGATTATTGGCTATGACAAGAATTTAGAACGATAATTGGTTTACCCAAGACCAATGAGAAACCAGCATTACAAAGTGCGAGTTTCATAGAAGTTGGTTAGAGGACCAATATGTAGTACTGTAATTGTTCCGTGTATGTAGCATAAGTTTGGCTACAATCTAGAAAACTTTGGGCTTCTCCGTAGCTTCTTTCAAAATGTTGCTGTTTGTAAAAAGTGTAACAAGGTCATAATAGATTTGGAAGAGGCTATTGACATCTGCAGCGAATGCGATGCACTAAAAGGGAACCAAAGAGCAAAACCAAGCGACACAACGCTTAGTAAGGAAGAAAATGCGTGAAAAAGAGAATATGGGTGGAGACACCACGACGTCACCGATTTTGAAGGCGTCTACTTGTTCGTATACGTCGCATCTAATCGATAAAAATAAAAAACATGGTCATCTGTGGCTGCCATAGACCTAGCATACGAAGTTTTAAAAAATTTCATCGAGTCAATGTCACTAAATTATTAAAAGTTTCTATTGAAAGTTTGGACATCACGTGCGGAGATTTCGGCATAAAATTTAAAAATGACACTACCACTTTCATTTTTCCTGTTAATCATGAACTTATGATAGTGAAACAAATGACATTAGATTTCTCAGAGTGCCGCTCATCAATCTAAACAAGTCATTGTTTCTCTTTAGTGTCCCTTCAGCATGCTTACGAGTGATTCATTGCAGAGAACATCAGTTCAGTGATTAAAGGTTAAAAAAATACAGTGACAACAATTCTGCACAGACAGCTGATTTCAGGCTCCATGAATTGTTCCAAGAATGTGTCGTGATATTGTACTGAGCAGAATGGGCAAAAAGCCTGATGACAGGTCAGAATTATTCATATGACAAGGTCAAGAAAAGGCAAAGAAAAAAAATGCTAATAATGGTTAAAGATACACCAGCAAATTAACCAGAAGTACTTTCGGCATCCATAAGTGGTATGCATACACCCATATCTTAAACACGTTAAATCAAGTATATACAATTTACGCTATCATACCACCTTGAAGATGAAGGTATGGGACAGTAAATAAATGAAACACGGTGGTCTAGTCACCAGTAAAAACTTTTCTTCCACTGTAGGCATTGTTGTTACCCTTTAGCATGTACTCAATGCAGATTACTAGTAAAAACAAAGTACGTGGTCTAGAAATAGTAATTTCTGTTATTTTTTGCAACAAAACCACAATATTATTATAATGCATGCCATATAGGGTGCCTATGGAATACTTTTGATCACCTGGAGTTCTTTAACATCTAAGTGAATTTATGTACATAGATGTTATTGCACTTTGCCCTCATCATAGCAGCCTTATGGCCAGGAATTGAACCCTGATACCTACAAGTTTAACAACATGTCACTTTACAATATGTGTAAGTTCTATATGTGACATTAAAGGGGCGGGGGAGGGGGGAATCCAGAAAAATGCTGTAATGTTTGGTTGCTGATATTGTGCATTGCAGAACGCTGACATCGCTCTGGGGCCAATTTCGGTTATGGCCGAGCGAGAAACAGTGGTGGACTTCACAGTGCCCTACTACGACCTGGTGGGTATCTCCATTCTCATGAAGAAACCCGAAGTGAAGTCTTCGCTTTTCAAGTTCCTCACTGTGCTCGAAGGAAACGTCTGGGGATGCATCCTGGCTGCCTACTTTTTCACAAGGTATCATTTCACTACTCTTGACATTTTCAATAAAACTGCTACAATACACTGCTGCTACTGGAATATACAGTGACAAAGGTGGTTTAGTCATGTCATTATCATATGTCAGCTTATATAGTAGTGATTACGCAGCTGTGATGGTGCTTATTTATTCTATTAATCCCATCACGACAGAGAAGGTATCTTCGTCAGATATGCACAGCACACAGACAGTGGTGTACAAGTTGTAAATCTATTATAAATACGCTTGTTTACTATTTGAAACCCATGTTTTCCTCATATAAATGAGAGTTTACTGCAAAAATTTCCCCTTCTAACATTTTAGATAATTTTTAAAAAGTATTTGTACAAAATACAGCCCTATGTGGATACGATGACTGAAAAAAAAAAGAAAATGAAGTGTGCTTGAGCTTCGCCTTCAAGAGCAGATCATGGTAGCATATTCGGGCCTCACACGCTCATCTTCTTAAATGCAAGCCTGCTTCAGTTCTCGGTGCACGCCTCAACCACGCCGTCAGGAAAAACGAAATACTGTGCGCGTAAGATTGGCCGTTTCAAAGTATATGATTGAATGCCTACTGGAAACACAGTCGTTAAGTGTCCACTACGTCATATTTAATCCTTTTGCGAATTAGTGAAGCGTCCACTATTTGTCTGTGGAGCAACGCACAAACCTACGCAGTTGTTCACTTTGTTGATAGTTCTCCTGCTGCTTATGATTAAGTGTGTCTGAGCACATTATAATATGTGGGCCTTTAAAATATTCTCTCTTTGCTCAAATCATATGTTTTCACTTTCACAACATATATGGTAGATATACGGCGCACAGTGTGGTGTGACTATACCTAAGGAAGTTAAAATCTTGACTCATTAAAATTAGAAATCTCTATGGGCATCCAGTATGCATTCATTTATTATTTGTAAGATTGAAACGCTTGACAATAGCTTGATGAATACTCTTAAGACGTAAACAGATTTAAGTGTATAGGTAAGTTTGAGATTCTTCAAAAGACGGTGAACAAGTTTGGTAGTTGTAACTGCTGCTTGTAAAGCAGGTTCTGAAGACAGTGGCAGGTGACAAATCTTCTCAATTGCTATTGTGGACTATTCAGAGTGGCATATACTTTGCCACGCCTTGCATTACTGAGTTTTCAATCGAATTGTAATAAGTGGGAATGATTTTTTTCGCCCTTTAACATTTGCATAAAAATATTTTTACAGTTGTGTAGGCACAACATTGGTGAAAGTTTCATTTACAAAAGCCTTCACTTAGAAATCAGGTAAATAATTTATAAGTGGGTAATGAAGTGTTCCTTTAGTAATGGGAGCAATAGACAGCCTTAGTACCACTTCCTTATTGTTGGCGTAGAGACTCTGGCGTTAAATGTCGGTAGCACATAATTGGTCAGCGGGTGTTTTTCATTTGGTTTAAAATTGCTTATACAGTATGCTTGTACAAAGAATAAATATTAATCAACCTATAAAATACAAGTATATTCAAATAATTATAAAATCGTTTTTTTTTTATTTTTGTACCATGATGTTTTTCAATAAAAGTTTAATGCGCACTCTTACCACTAAAACTTTCGATTCATCGAATTCTAAAAAACAAATTGTTGGATTTCAGTTGACTGCCAAAACATGTATTTCAGCAAACCATTATTTCTGCAAACCACGACTGCATAGTTTCCTTGAGTTTCAAGCTCAGACGTGAAGGCACAGGGAAAGATTTTTTGTTTTTTTGCTAAATTCATCTTCTGAAACTTTAGCTGTAAGCTGAACATGGCATAAATCATTGTAAAAAACAGCATGAATCAGCTCCGCACAGAAGTTGGGCACATACATGGGGATGTTTGTACACTGTAAGCATTTTTTTTTGCTTGGTACTCTCGTATTATTTCTAATTCATTCAAAGAAATGGAACCAGCAACTACAGTAAAACAAAAACCTCAAGCACACATACATTTTATGTACAAACCATTTTCTTAACTACTAAAGGAGCCGTACAAAAAGGACAAATTTACATAATGCTGACACTCACCAGACTCATTTAATACAGCCACAACACCTAACATGCCTGTTGACCTTTCAAATCAAATATGTATTGTGGTTCATTACACAGCGCAACTTTGCCTGCTTTTAATAGTAACAGATTCCCTACAAGCTGGTGGCTTGTCATATCACACCGTTCATCACTGAATTTCGTAGATTTTTGTGGTACAGTCCATTCATGTTTTTGCAATGCTAGATGTTTACATAGGCCAGTTGGAAAATCTGTTGACAGCAGTGAACATATTATGCAGCTTCGAAATCAGCAGAATATTTTTTCTTATTTAAGTGTCCTATTCTTCGCAGCTTCCTCATGTACCTTTTCGATCGGCTGAGTCCATACAGCTACCGAAACAACAAGGAGAAATACAAGGACGATGAGGAGAAACGTGACTTCAACCTGAAGGAGTGCCTCTGGTTCTGCATGACGTCATTGACACCTCAGGGTTAGTGCATGAAAAGCATGTTCAGCCCCAAGCTGTCCTATGGTTCACCTGGAAGTGTATATGTGCCTACCAGCAAGCAAATGTGCCTCCTTGAGGTTTCTTACTGTTCTATTTGTTTTTCGGCGATTACTAAGCCTTTAGTCATGTTCCCCTACTCAATAAGTACCGATTTGCCTGGCATAAATCAAATCAGATAAAATACTCTCACCCGCCCCACTCCACCCTACTACATGGTAACCAAGTTTTTCTATATCCTCGTATCTTTTTCAACTTGGTTTCTCTATCTCTTTCTTTCTCTCAGCACATTATTCCGAAACCTTTTTATATAATGGTGATTTTTCTGAAGCACTCTGTGCCTCCGCTGAACCACTCGTAGACATTGTTTCATTACATAGCCTAATACAACTAGTAAAAGAGCCTACAAGAATACACGAAGATATTCAATCAATTTTGGATCTCTTCATTATTAGTGACAGTGGTCTTGATCGTGCCCCGAGAGTGGACATATTCAAAGGTGTCTCAGACCACATGCTCGTGTGCTTAAATCTCGAAGTGAAATTCCTATCAAGGCTGGCGAAGAAAGAGTGTATTGTTCCGGTGTTTTCTCGTGCTAGCAATGTTGATATTTTGGATGTTTCAGATAGTTCTTTTTTTGTTCAACTCGTTTTACGAATCAGATGTCTGTACTGTTGAACATATGTGGTGCTTTTTAAAAACCTGGTTTTGACTTGTGTGAAAAAGTTTATCCCACACAAACGACACTTGCAGCGTACACACAATCCGTGGATGACGAAAGAGATTGCACGTCACCAACGTAAGTTGAACAAGGCGAAAAGGCAGTACAGGCGGTATCCATGCTCAGGTGGCTCAGATAAGATATTGGAGTTACGCGAACAACTGAAGAACAGCATTAAAAAGGCCAAAGATTTTTACGAACATGTTCGTCTTAAAAACTTTCTTAAAACTTCGCCAGAAATATTTTGGCAGCACATTTTGCCAAAGAAGAAAGATCCTCCTACTCTATCAATTGATGGTGCCCCTGTGACAGATAACGCAGTAATTTCCGAAGCTCTTAATGGTTATTTCGGCTCTGTGTTTGTCATTGACGATGGCCGCGCACCGGATTTCAGCAATTTTGATTATAGGGAACCTGTGGATAATGTGTCTATATCTGAAGAAGGCATACCAGCACTACTGCTAAAATTAGATGACAAGAAATTGCCAGGCATGGATGGTATACCAAATGCATTTTTATTTTTTTTTATTGATATGATATATAAGGAGATGTTGGCGCACCATTATGGCGCCGGCTACTCCTTAGCCGTTAATTGAAACTTGAACACGTATCTTGAAGCAAAAACATACAAAGCAGTGCATGGAAAATAGAAAACTCAGGCACAGATATGTAAAGACACACTTATACGTACATATCACAATGGTAAGTAAATGTTTGAAAGTCATTGTAAGAAGTCTCTGGAAACAACAAAACACAAACAACAAACACAAAACACAACAACAAAACAACAAAGCACACGTCTGGTCCTTATAAAGATGCATTCGCTCGTATGTACATAATAGTCGACACGTCATTCATTTCACAACACACACGTGATGGGCGTCACATGATACTGTATATAATAAGTACATGTGTTACAAATGAAAGCTTGTTCTTTGTTAATACTTGTCAGCAATCCCGCTGTCTTGTAAAAAACGTGTTAATGCTCTTAAAGCGTGGGACTGTAAAACTCCAGTTGGCCACGGGCCCAGAAGTTTTTTCATGCTAAATGGTCTGTGGTCCAATGCGAACAGTTCGCTTTTAAGACGGCGTCTTGGCGCGTCATGATGTGGACAGTCTATGAGAAGGTGACAAACGTCTTCATCTACAAATCCACAAACGCATTCGGGAGTTTCAGCTCTGCCGATTCTGTGCAAAAAATGTTTTGTGTATGCGGTACCTAGCCTCAATCGGTGAATTAGAGTTTCCATCCTTCTATCTAATGCCAGCGTAAATTTGAATTCAATAAATGGATCGATGTGATATAAATCGCAGCTCTTTGTACTTTGGTCAAACCAAGCAGTTTTGCTCATTCTGAAAGTTGTATTCTTTATAATACTACGCAATTCATTTTTCGAAATCGGTAAAGAAACAGTAACGTCTTTACGATGTGCTTGTCGTGCTGCTTCATCGGCAGCTGTGTTTCCAGGAATGTTGCAGTGGCCAGGTATCCACTGGAATTCGATCTCATGTTGCGCCTTCTTTGCTTTAGTGAGCTCCTTCAGCGTTTCGTATGTCATACTATCACTTATTACTGTCCTGTTTGTACTGGAAAGTGATCTTAATGCGGCCTGTGAGTCACTGAAAAGTACCCATTTTCTAGCGTCTGCTACCGAGTTTATAAACTTTAGAGCATACAGAATAGCGAAGAGCTCAGATGTTGTAGATGACGTCGTGCGGCATAATTTAAACGATTCCTGAATATTGAGCTGTGGTATGATAAATGCCGATGTTGAAGACGTTGTAGTACTTGAGCCATCTGTGTAAATATGTATGTACCCTGGATACCGCATGTGTATCTGATAAAGCGCTAGTTGTTGAGCAGCTTGGATGAACATGTCTCTCTTTCTAATAATGCCATCCACTGAGAATTCAATGCTTGGTATAACAAGCACCCATGGAGGATAGTCCATTTCAGAGTTCCAAAATTCATGGCTGGGTAATATATGTACATTACTCTGGACTTCGTTATGAGCATTGCTTTTATCTCTTAGTAAAATATCCAGCGCCAATGGGTGGTCCCTGTGTTGCGTCTGTAAGCGAAAAAAATGGCGGCATGTTTCAATTGTTCTCATGACTGGAAAGGGTGGTTGTCGAGTCTCTGCTATGACAAGGCCGCTGGAAGTCGCTCGTGGAACACCTATGCAGACGCGCAGTCCCCTAGCTAATAGTCTTTGAAGTCGCTCCTCTGAAGTGCGGGAAAGGCCGTGTAACACTGCTGCAGAATATGCAACTTTTTGTCGTATTAAAGCATTGTGAACAGCGAGCATGGATGATGCAGATCCGCCCCATGATGTGCCAGCAATTCTGCGGAGTATATTCACTAGTGTATTCACCTCGTTTTCGAGTTTCTTTATGTGAGGTGCCCATGATAGCTGCCTATCAAGTATTACTCCGAGAAATCGATGCTGTGTCACAATCATTAGTGGTTCTTCTTCTAAATTGAGATTGAGGTTCTTTAACTTCTTACAGGTTAAGGGCAATACAGCTGTCTTTGCGTGCGATAGAATCATTCCTCTTTCTTTTAAAAAGTTGTTGACAATATTTATTCCGTCTTGCAATGCAATCTGAATTAACCGTATGTCCGTGCCAGATGCCCAAATGCACACGTCATCTGCATATAAGGAGTATTTCAACCTGGAAGGCAGTCCTTTAGCTAAATCAGCCATAACACAGTTGAAAAGAAAAGGGCTGAGTACGCTTCCTTGTGGCACTCCCTGTCTGACGTCGTGTTCTGCACTTTTTCCTTCGCTTGTCTGAATGAATATTTTACGACCTGATAAAAATTTGGATACCCACCGCAAAGACCTGCCGGACAGTCCGTGTTCCAACATACTCAGCAGAACATGAGTGTGACTGACAGTGTCAAATGCCCTTTTGATGTCCAAGAACACTGCGACCGTCAAACTACCACAGGCGCGTTCATGCTCCACATACGTTACTAGGTCCAGTATTGCATCCATTGTGCATCTCTGTTTCCTAAATCCTGTCAAGTAGTTGGAGAATACACCAGTTCTGTTGCACCACCATTGAAGTCGCGCATCAATCATTTTTTCCATTACCTTACATAAACAGCTTGTCAGACTGATTGGACGGAAGGATTCAAGGTTCAAGGGTGTCTTAGCCGGTTTTAAGATCGGAATGATGCGAGCAGACTTCCAAGACTCGGGTACAATTTCTTGCGTCCATAGATTATTGTAAATATCTAAGAGAATAGTTGTGCCTGTGGGCCCAAGGTTCTTTAGCATATTGTACGTAATGCCGTCCGGTCCAGAGGCCGATTTTTGACGACATGATGCTATAGCACAATGCAGCTCCCTTAACGTAAATACAGGGTCTAGCTGAGGATGCTGGGCCCAAAAGCAAGCGTTAATTTTCTGACTGGCTAATGCAACAGAATTATCAAATAAGGCACATTGTGATGCGGCGGGCCTACTGATAAGTTGACAAAATTCATCTGCTACCACAGCTTCCGGTTTGTCCAAAGCTACAGCAAGAGCACGAAATGGGAAGCTCTGTGATACAGGGCCACTAAGTGCTCGAATTACAAGCCAAATTCTTGGAACAGGTGTGTGGGGGGAGAGAGTGCCACAGAAATCACGCCAGCGTCGTTTACCTAAATTTTCTAGCCGTCTGCGCATTACACTGTGGATTTTCTGTGCATTTTTGTATGCTTCTAAACTTCCGCTGCGTCGATATGCCCTTTCTGAACGTCGTCTGATGGCTCTTAGATGTTCATACTCTCCATCGACTGCAGCATAGTCTTTTGGAATCGGGACTTTCTTTGTACATTTATTCGCATTATCTTGCAGAAATTCAGTAAACCTTTCAACTGTCGTGAGTTCACTATTTTGGTTTGTTATGTGGTGCCGAAAAGCTTTCCAGTTCGTCAATTTGCTGTAGCGTCTGGTGTCGTCTTTTCGCAAGAATGCATTTTTAAAGCGACATGCTGAATGGTGTTCTAAATATCTATGTCTGTTGTTCAAGTAATCCATGTCTAATGCGGATCTTCCATGCGACTGGAAGTACGCGAAAATCACGCCAATTCTTAAAACAAACGCGCCATCAACTCCGTCATTGTATAGAACAATTTCCTTATTATGCACATGCGCGAAGGAACTAGAGCACATAATTTTTAAACATATACCCAGTTTCCTTGAAAACAAAGGCTTAATTGGTTCCTTCCTGCATGGCTTTCGCCGTGGTTACTCTACAGTGACCCAGCTCATCGAAACTGTCCACGACTTAGAAGCAGCCCTAGACAGACATAACCAGGTCGACAATTATATTTCTTGACTTCGAAAAGGCATTCGGCCGAGTCTCACGCCGAAAATTATTATTGAAGTTTTTATTGAACTAATACTCAGGAACATCATAGTATTTGCTTGGATAGAAGCCTACGTCTGATGTAGACGACAAGTCGTGGCCATTGATAACGAAACTTCGCGTGCCATTCCAGTCATTTCGGGAATCTCGCAAGGCTCTATTCTTGGTTCTTTATTTTTTTTGTATACAGCAATGACATCGTTCAGAACATACCCGTTAAAATAAGGCTCTTTACTGATGATTGTAATATATACCGTGAAATTACCACGCTTAACGACCAGATAACAAGAAATATATCTTTTGACCTAATTCAAACATGTTGCACAGACTGGCAAATGACCACCAATAAAAAGAAAACTGTCGCAATGACAATTAGTCGCAAAAAGCACCCTATAACGTTTTCTTACTGTTTTTACAATGAACCTCTGGAAGTAGCAACTAACGGTAAGTATCCGGGAGTTATCATTTCTCACGATCTTAAATGGAATGACCACATTGACTAAGTACCTAGAAAGGTGATGAAAAAACCAGAATACTTAAGGAGGCGCTTGAGCAAGTCCTCTCCAGAAGGTAAATTATTACCCTATAAAAGATTTATTCGGCCACTCCTGAGATATTGTGTCGCTGTTTGGGATCCATACACAAAAAGAAACATTTCAGTATTGTAAAAAATACAGAGGAAATCAGTTAGGTTCATCTTTAATTAATAAAGCTGGGAGGCATCAGTCACATCTCTTCTAGAAACGGCTGCGCTGGAAAAATTAGCAAATCGCCGACACCATGAACAAATCAAACTATTTTACCTTATTTATTATGGACATTTGGGTATCAAAAAGGATGCATATCTAAAAGACTCCCACCGGCGGCCTACACGATCCCTTCATAATAAAAAAAGTAACCGAGTTCTCTACTCCCACCAACATTTTCCAGTATTCTTTTTCCCGAGAACTGCAACCAATTGGAATTTCCTTCCCTCAGCTGTGGTGCAATGCCCGTCGCTATCATCTTATCTACAGTCCCTTCAATCCATGAAACATAGCTCTGACATACTTTTACATGAACCCTCACGCTTTTTTTCTTTCATATATTTACGTATTCATGTTTTCACTGCTTATTTAAATATCTTGCTGCTTTGCTTGTATGAATTTGTTGTACTCTTCTTCTTTTGTTGGTATTATTGCCACAATGCTTCATATGTGTTCATTGTAACCTTTTTTTTTGTATTCACTTGTACCCACTCCGGCCTAAGGTCTGAAGATCAGACCAGCAGTTATGTAATAAATAAATAATAAATAAAAATATACTATGTTGGCTGCTCATACATCTCCCTTAACTAAGTTACAATCAACCAAATTCATTTCGTTAAATTTGGACACCACAGAGTCCATTTGGCATTTAGTTTCGATCATTTTCACACCATTAAAATTCATAATGATTCTTACAGCTTTGGCATAGCTGTAGTACTAACAATTATTAACTACAGATAAGATTAATAAAATATTTAAGATTCTTTTGAGGCTGTGAGGCCTTGACCAGTGTTGGCATACAAACAATTTTGCCAGTACAATACAGCGCAGTATTGTCTGCAGGGCGGAGCGTATAATCAACATTGCTGTGCTGAAAACATGATAAAGTTTGTGCCGGACTTGTTCTCCTTCCTTGAGCACTAAACAGTAGAAAATTCCTGGATATAGCTGAACCAAGTGAATTTCACTTATAAAAAAATCGCTGTCATTTTGAATCATACTTATTTTGTCCCCTATGCACCTTGTTAATGAATTGAGCATTCCTGGGCACTGCCATAATTTTCTCTGGGTTGTTGGTATATGCGTGACTCTGCAGAAATGCCCTGCTGAGGCTGCGACGTTGGCGTATTGTACTCTTATAAAACATTGCAAAGGGAGGAGGTCCTCCGTTTTCATTTAAACGGTCCATACAGGTTCAGTTCCAGGTGCCAGCTTCAAGTCATAATCCGGGGCACAACATGTCTACATCACGTTCCACATTAATTCACTGCGCAGGTGGTGGCGAGGCACCTCGCAACCTTTCTGGACGTCTGGTTGCAGCGACTTGGTGGTTGTTTGGCTTCATCATCATTGCATCCTACACGGCCAATCTGGCCGCCTTCCTGACTGTGTCGCGACTCGACTCACCCATTGAGTCTCTTGATGACCTCGCCAAGCAGTACAAGATCAAGTATGCGCCTCAAAAAGACACGTCTTCGATGACGTACTTCGAGCGCATGGCCTACATAGAGTCCAAGTTCTATGAGTAAGCAACATTTTTTAATGCAACTTAGTGCAGCAACACCCAGTGCTGAATGTCAAGGTAGAACTTTCCAGGACAGATGAAAGAGAGGGAATGGAATGAAGGGGTTATGTTGTCTTCATTGATTAAATACATTGCTATGCTTTGTTTAGAAGGCACTGGGTTCGGTATAGTTGGTACTGATCCATAACATATGTAAGCGCTGAAGACACATACGTAAGACGAGCGAAGGACACGGCACTTATGTCCTTCGCTCGTTTTACGGACGTGCCTCTGGCGCTGACATAAGATATGCTTTGCTGTTGTGGTGATTACTGGGAGTCCGCTCACCCAAGTCCAGCATACTATTGGCTTTGATCCATATACTGTCGTGATCACAAAGCAATAATTAGCCCCTTTAGGCACAAATTGTGGTGCCCTGTCATTAAATGTGCCACATTCATGCAATATAATTCCAAGACACTCAATATCACACTCTAAGAAAGAAAATTCAGTTTTCACAAAGTGCTGCCTTCTGATGCTGTACAAAACCCTATTATGCATCCAGTGATAATTCCAGATGTTACTGTTTCCTGCCGCAAGTGAGAAGGATAGGGGCAGGGTGGCTGTAAGAAACCCCTGTCAAGCATTGCCAACAACACCAACTGCTAAATAAAATTTTCTATTGATTCAATAGCATTATAATAAATCGACTAAATATAGTTCGTAACTGTTTTAAAGTTAGAAGAAAGTAGTACTTGGCATTTATTGCCGGGAGCAGTAAGTGTATGTATCGCCGTCAGCAAGCTTAAAAGGAGTGCTCCGCAGCGTGTCCTGAAACAGTTTATTGGCGCTAGCGCCGCGCAGCTTTGGGTTCTGTTGCCGAGATGTTACTCATGCGAGCCAACATACCAACCAAGTATACCGAAGTATTATCTCGGCAACAACGTCCAATCCTTCGCGGCATTGTCGTCAAAGTATTCAAAGTCACGCATCAAAGCACTCGTATTAATTTAGTGTGCTAATGAATGTACTTAAAAATTGCACTACGTCTTTCTCTTTCTCATAAATATTGGTAGCACTATTCACTTTAGCTTGCTTCAACAAGAAGACATGAAGGTCAATTTTTTGTACTTATTGCTGCGGTGAGAATTTATCAGCAAATTAAATTCAACTGCGAAAAAGACCTGTAAAATCTTCTTGAGAAGACGCAGGATCTCAGCATGAGTATTCTGGTGTCTTGGTCGTGCTTCTCAACAGCGGCAGAAGTTCCGGTTAAAGAACGTGTCAAATGAAATACGAAGTTTTTCATTACCGCACATTTCGTTAAACACAGTGAATATTTTGTGTACAAGATAGCAACTAATTAATAAATGCTGTATTCAATCAACTTCCAATGAAACAGCAGCTCAACAATTTTCTTCATGAGGCACAACACCATTTACTTACTTTACCTTACAACATATACATTGTTTGAACTGAAAGTAGAAACTCATCAGCTTTTTTTATACGACAGTAAGAAAATAATATGGGAAAGATTTACGCAGCTTGCGATTATGTGCCGAGAATGCCTCATTTATTTACAAACATGAACTGTATTGCGAAAAAATGTGATGCGACCGATGATCACGGGACTGGAGAAACTGAAGGTTCGGTGTCAACAAATGACTATTTGATTGATTGAATAATTGATTGATTGATATGTGGGGTTTTACGTCCTAAAACCACCATACTAATATGAGAGACGCCGTAGTGGAGGGTTCCGGAGATTTCGACCTTCTGGGGTTCTTTTAATGTGCACCTGAATCTGAGCACATGGTAGGTAGGAACAAAGAGCAGGAAGTTAATTTCACCTTCTGGTTTTTTTTTATAGACATGCATTCATGTGTTAAAATATACATTTTCTTGAACTTGGTACAACTTTTAGATAATATAAACGCAAATATTTACGATTGCGAGTGTGGGCCTGGTAACGTGCTCCAGAAGACTCATTTTCTGCTCGAAAGGGGTTCTATCTGCTCCAAAAGCTGCGTCTAAATCATTAAACCAATCACACCACTATTTTGGTTGTATTCATTTCAAGAAAAGAAATACTATGCTCTTGATGCTGAAATGTGACACGTCAGATGATTTGTTGAACATCATAGAGCCTTCAAAGCAATCACCCACAGTCCTGTATAGCTCGCTGAGGTTAAGTGATGGCATACCAATCATGTGGAAAGTGCAATTCTTTTATTGAGGAATGCATTTTGGTCTCTTTTAGCCACACTATCGGAGCACTTGCATAAACAAATTACGTACACTAACGAAGCCACCATTACTGAAGGCGCTGGTACTAATGGCCTGGCATATGTTGTTGCATGCGCTATCATTAAGAAAAAAAAACTTTGTTTTATTTTTCTCACAGGTGTTGGTCAATTTTGATAAAAATAGCTTGCCCATTACTTGCTCATATGATAATGTATTGTGTTTTATATTTAATACACTACTGTATGATTTTTGAGTGCATGATAAGCCCTCATGTATTAATGGCAGTAGTCAAGAATGAGCGAATGTTTTATGTGCATGATTATAGTATATTTTTTTTTGTTCCTACTGGTGTCCCCAATTTCATCTGCTCTGTTGTATATTGCTTTGAGACATGTTCCGATTTTATGTGGCGCAACATGTTAAGCATGTTGCACCACATCAGTGTTACCACTTAATCTGTTTTTCTTCTCACTCTATGTTTTGGTTTTACAGCATCTGGAAGAACATGTCCTTAGATGATACCCTGAGTGACGAGGAGAGAGCAAAGCTGGCTGTATGGGATTACCCCGTGAGTGACAAATACACCAAGATATGGTGGACCATGCAAGAAGCCAACATGCCCATAGAATTTGAGGAAGGTGTGCGAAGGGTAAAAGAGTCTAAGGGCTCGCAGGAAGGATTCGCCTTCATCGGTGAGTCACCACTAAGTCAGATTAGTGAGCTTCAATCGTCTTTCTTATGGATGCACAGCTTGCTATTGTAGCAAAACAAATATGAAGACCTGTAGCTAAAAACGAGCCAAAAGGCAGGTTTGGTCCAGTCAGTCATTGGTTCAGCCAGTCATCATCACTAGCCTGACTACGCGAACTGCTGGACAAAAGTCTCTCCCATGTTCCACCAGTCATCTCGGTCCTGTGCTTGCTGCTACTACTTTATAACCCCGGACTTCCTGATCTCATCTGCTCATCTAACTTCCCTTCTCCCCCTCACCTGCTTACCTTCTCTGGCAATTCAGTCAGTTACCCTTAATGAACAGTGATTATCCTGCCTACCCGCTACGTGCCCGAGTCACGTTCATTTCTGCTTCTTGATTTCAACTATAATACCCTTAACCCCGGTTTGTTCCCTAATCCACTCTGCTCTCTTCTTGTCTGTTAAAGTTACCCCCATCGTTTATCTTTCCATCGCTTGCTGCCTCATCCTCAATTTAAGCTGAACCCTCTTTGTAAGTCTGAAGGTTTCTGCTTCATAGGTAAGTAACGGCAAAATGCAGCTGTTCTACACCTTCCTCTTGGGTGTAGTGATGATCTACCAATCATGATTTAAGAATGCATGCCGAATGTACACCACTCAATCCTTATTCTTCTAGTTACTCTAGTCTCGTGGTTTGGCTTTGCGGTTACTACCTGTTTCAAGTAGAAGCAGTCTTTTACAACTTCAAGTGTAGATTAATTTTAGGACCTACATTTCTGTTCTCCCCGTCTAAATCAGTAATCATGAGTTGCAATTTGTCCCCTGAGTTACTAAGCGACGCAATGTCATCGGCAAAGCACAGGTTACCAACGTACTCTCCATTAACTCTTATCCCCAGCTCTTCTTATTCCCCTGAAAAACTCCTGTAAGCAAGCGGAAAATAGCATTGGGGAGATAGTATCCTCTTGTCTTATACACCCTTTATTTGTATTTTGTCACTTTCTTTATAGAAAAATGTGGTGGCAGTTGATCCGGCCGCTGTTGATTTCTTCCAGGATATTTATGTATGCTTCGTTCGCGCCCTGATTTGGCAGTTTCTGCATGACTGCTGATACCCCAACAGAATCTAATGCCTTCTCGTAATCTATGAAGGCTGTGTATAGTGGTTGGGTGTACTGTGAGAATTTCTCTATCACCTGATTCATAGATAGAGAGTATGAATGTGGTTCATCCCAGAGAACTAAATGGAAGCTCAAAGGGTGTGGGACTTTTCAAATATTCCCCTCCCCCACAACAGCTTTGCTTATTGTCCAGGTGTAGCTTTAGCATGAACAAAAGAATGGTAATAGACCAAGGACCCCATTTCTCAGTTCGACGCAGCTGATATATGAAAAAAAGATATTGAAGCCAACCTCATGTCCCTGTGCTTTCCTTCGCTTCATTATGTTGTGGTTTTGAGGTGTAGATTTGCATAGAGGGTCACACTGGCATAGAGAGCTATACCTATCAAAAGATGCGTGTCTACACATTTTATCACTGCTTAAAACCCATGAAATTGTACCAGCACAGTCATTTGTTTGTAGATGGCACACTTCATTTTTTTTTAGACCAGGTTGGCAACTGAAAATTGAGAGAAAAAAATTACATACGTTTACACACTGTGTCTCTGTCTCGTTTCTTGGTATTTTCATGTCTTAATTATGAACGTCGAGCATCAAAGCTTTTAAAGGCGCTGACACAGGACGAGAAAAATGTGCACGGGGCAGAGCATTGTTTTAACCCATAGCAAGTCGATCTTGACGGGGTATAGCGTAGTGGGAATGAAAAGTTTGGCCGAAACGTCTGACTTTACTATTTATTAATTTTTTCGTGCGAACCTCAAACTATCTTTCATGTCATGATGAACTATTATAACAAAAGAAGCAGCAGAAGTTCAAAAGAGCACTTTGCTGTCACTGAAAATTATGAGATAACTCGACTATAAAAATACAAATCTTGCAGCTTTTTCATGACACAATGCCACCATTCTGAAGTCATCATAAAGAGGAGAGAACAAAGCTCTAGGTAGCCATAATGGTGCACTTCTCTAATGAAAACAAAAGACCAGCACCCTAGCAAGGTTCGTTTTTTGAACGCTTATCTCCATTTCCTCCGACTTGTGTTTTCTCAGTTTTTATTTCACGGCTGAGCTGTTAAGCTTGTAAGTTAAGCCGTGCAGAGCCAACATAAAACTAACATAATCAGGAACTGGCACCGTGCTCTTTTTTCTATTTTCTTCAGATTTCGTTTCGCTCCCAGACAGCATGCGCCAATTTGTCCGCCTTTAGATGCAATAACTTTGACAGGCGAGAGGTCAGCTTTAGAGATTGAGAAAAAGATATAGTTAAATGAAGAAAATAAAGACAGGAAAAAGACACAGAGAGGAATAGAAATAACCACACAAAAAAGAGACAGAAAAAAAGAGTGAGAGAAGAGAGAGAGAGCAAGACAGAGTGAGACAGAGCGAATTGGGGGAAAATAAAGGGGACAGAGAGAGGGGAAGGAGAAAAGGAGGGAAAAAAAGAAATGGGAGAACAGCGAGAAAGAAATAAATAGCAAAAATTAACTGACAAAATTACAAAAAAAAAGAATGTTTCACATACTCGCCGTAATGACAAGTGGTGCTGACTAACGCTCCTTTTGAAGTGGATAGGGAAATGAGCGCCATCATAGCTTGGTGATTTAGAATAGGACAAGTTATTCGAAGGTCACAGGTTCGGTTCCTGCTGGTGGCAAGGTATCTTTTTCTCTTCCGTTTTTTTTTCTTTACATTTACATTACAATCACTTCTAATAGTGTCCTCTTTATTTTCCTTGGCATTATGGTATGTTAGTTTTCAGCAATAGTTCGTCCTGGGAAGAAACGATTGGATTATTTGTAAACGCTCAAGCCCAAACACACTTTTTTTTTCAATCAGCGTATTTTTGTCGCCCAACGGTGTGTCACAGTATCAGGATTTACTTATTTATTGTTCTATTTTCATTTCACTGTCTGTACACATTATTTTGCATTGTCAACCAGCCTTAAATAAAGATGGGGGCACCGTAATTGTCCAATAACTCAACCGCGCATATCTTTTAAGCAGAGTCACTTTGAAGCTCTTAATATTGTTCCTGCTGTGTAAAAATACGATCAACTAAAGCATTCTTCAGCACTTTGAAAAAAAAAAAGGTGCCCAAATAACACGGATTGTGGCAATGAAAAGATGAACCGCTCAGTTGTCGTAAGCGCAAAATTGCACATCGTGTTGCAGCAAGCAAAGCTAACTTTCTTGTAATGACGTTGCTGTGCACTCAGTCTCTACTGAGATGCTGATGCTTAGCTGTAGTTCACAGCAAAGCAGACAATGCACTCTCGTGCTCTGGAGAACTCACGCACCCCTTCTGAGCCTGCACCACCTTGTTCCGATGCGTGGCCGCACCGGACATCCTGGCGCTGCACGGAGCACGCTTGCGATAGCTGCGCCGTGTTCATGGTACCAAGAGTGGCCAACTGTGCACATGATTATCAGTAAAAAAATCCGGCATATCGTATTACAGTACTACAGGGTTTATATCAGGTGCGCCACGGTGTGCAACTTGAGGTCGACTCAAACCATCTGGGGTTCTTGAACATGCTTAGGTGCACGTTCAAGAACCCTTCATTCAAGTACACAGCTGTTTTCGCATGTTATTTCTATAGAAATGACGCCATCGGGGTTGGGATCCAGCTTTCCGCGTAGAATTCAGGAGCGCAACGGCCACTGTTCTACTGCGGCGGGTGATATTGGGCATGAAATGTTTCGTTCAGTTGTGAGTCTACCTTCACTTTTTGTTTTAAGCGCTTGTTTTTCACTGTTTTCCTGTCATTCTCTGGCACAGAAACATGGCCTCTTTTTTTTTTTTTTGGCACAAACGTAGTACTACAGCATTGTGCACAAGTACAGTGTTTGTATCTTTCAGGCACATTTTCTTTCAGTGTTTTCATCTTCCATGTAACAAACAATGGTGTATGCATTCTATGTACTGTTTATTTTCATTTCACTGTCAAAATTTCAGTTGTGGTACTTTCGAAATTCCCCACAGCGTCAGTGATTGGCAAAAACTGACCTTTCCTGGTTCAGCGCCTGCCTTGCAGCATTTCTTTTCCCACGACCAGCGTTACTTGAATGTAGGTCCTGGGAAGCTGGCTTTGAATGCTGTTATAGAAACTTACAGGACATCTTTTCAGGCAACCTTTAATGAATTCTGCCCTTTCAGCATTCACGGGCATTTGTGGTTTTTAACTTATAGCATGATTAAGTCAGGCACCGCTCGTGCACATTCTGCAGTCAAAAGTCACACGTGACTGTGCTCGTGTGTTGCAGCGGATTCGACCCGAGTTAAGTACGCCACAATGACTAACTGTGACCTCGTGTCTGTGGGCAGTGAATTCAGCAGAAAGCCGTTGGCACTGGCCGTTCAACAGAACTCACCCTTGAAGGACCAACTCTCCAGCGCGTACGTATGCATGTTGTCGCTTGTGTGTTAGTCAACACCTGTCATTCCACTGCTTTTAATTTTATTCATTACTGCAAAACACCGTCACTGCATCATGATGGTTATTTGTCTTGATCTTAATTCATTCTTTCAGTTTATAGGGCATTATTTCACATGGTGGTCATGAGAGCAAATAAGCATTGATACTATTGGCATAGTTGGTTCAAACTAAAAGAGAAATACATGCAACTGCTAAGGCTTTATTAGCACGCAACTGCTTTTTGCAGCTACAGCACTCAGCATGAATCTTAGGGGTTCATGCACTCAACAGCTTGGAAGGGTGAACTTACGAAAGAATGGAGTGCAGCAATATTCTGTTTTATTATATTCTGTCCAGCAAGCAGAGTGAAAAACATGGCAGAAACGGAAGGTTCACTGTTAAAGGGTGCACGTGTCACAACACTATCTGCACCACACTAAACGCCGGACAATGACACCATAGATACCGCAGATCCAGTACCAGAATTATTAGTAGAAGTATTCTTACCACTCCTTGGCCTGTGATTTAGCTCAGCATCTCCATTCAAATTTAAGCAACTCGCACAGTACGCAAACTGAACATAAATGTAAACAAATAGAGAAACGACAGTTTGGGGGCAATAGAACAGCAGCAAGAAACAGTTATATTAACGTATACGTCGTGCATTGCCCAAATAACACACCTCCTTATTAAAGAAGCACCGCGTGAGCATTATGCTGTCGCTGCAGCCGCCTTGCCCACTGAAGCTGGGCTGTGGCTGGGAGCCTTTTATATCTGATGCTGATGATGTCACAAAGTTGGGCTTGGCGAAGGTTTGCTGACCCGACTGATATTCATCGTAGATACTTGGGAACAACGCAGGCTCCATGGTTGGACCAGGGTAGTAATTTGGCAGAGGGACCAGAAAGGCGGACTGCATGCATCTGCGGTGATCGGTATGTTGGTTTGCGCCAGTTGACGCATTCCAAACCGCCGCGCTGTCCTGGCAATGTACCGGGGAATCCACAATGCTGACCATGATTTAGTTGATTAATATGTGGGGTTTAATGTCCCAAAACCACCATATAATTATGAGAGGCGCCGTAGTGGAGGGCTCCGGAAATTTTGACCACCTGGGGTTCTTTAACTTGTGCCCAAATGACGCGGGCCTACAGCATTTCCACCTCCATCGGAAATGCAGCCGCCGCCCAGAATTCGATCCCGTCACCTGCGGGTCAGCAGCCGAGTACCTTAGCCACTAGACCACCGCGGCGGTGCACGATGCTGACCAGAAAATGCACAATAAAGAAGCACTGCGTGAGCATTGGGTTGTCGTTGCCGCCGCCTTGCCCACACATAACCACTTAACTACATAACCCACATGCCCATACTTATACTATAATTCTACTATATAACTACATGCCCATATAGAGCCACTTAACTCCAGTGATTAAAAATTTTTATTATTTAACTTTTCTAATTACTGACTCAAACAATATTTAGCAATTTTAAGGCGCGCTTGTGGGTACAGAAGAAGTACAAAGGCATCGAGCAAATATAATTTTTGTCTGACGTTTTTAATTTTAGACACATTGCTCGAAACATTCAGTATACACGCATACACACATACATGTCTACATACGTACGTACATACATATCCATAGGGCTCCGTGTTTTCAGATAAATCCGAACAAATCCTATAAACACTCACTGGTAATTTTTTACAATTCAGATTTATTCGATAAGCTTTCATTTTATAAAGGTATTTTCAACATTGAAAGAGCACTTTCAAAGCTGACAGTCATCAATAGAAAGAATCACACTTACATCAGCGGCAGCAAACACGTAAAGTATGCTTGCGCCTATTACAACAGGCTTTAACGTTGTAAACACTAATAAACGTAGGTGCTTCCCCACATCAAACGTGCATTTCATGTGTTGACATGTTCTAGTGTTTAGGTATCATATCATCGAAGATACAGGAGTGTTGGGAATAACAATAATAGGTCATTTTATTTTTAATTAAGGAGATGAGAGAAGCTGGGTGAAAAAAGCTGAGAAGCAGCTTGACTATAGCGCCTGCTCAACTTAGAGGTACACTTTCGGGAGCTCACAGCAGGATACATCAACAGACTTATTAACAAGGTAAATAAACAAGAATTGGGAAAAGAAATAAAAAGATGAAAAAAACATGATTATCAGCAACACTGCAAAGCATTTCCATTGGAAATAAAATTGATAGGAAGACATTGCAACAACTTATAAATGCAAACGTAAACACCGAATTTCAGCTCCAATAAACGCCGAATGACCTCCAAAAAATAAACTCTAAAAAACACCCTCTGAATTTCAAGAAATATGAACTCCGAAAACCGAGCCTTATCTTCCGAGCCTTATCTATAAACAAAGTGGCTGTAATTATGACAGTTTAGAGCCCACTAATTATTACTAGCCTTATGACATCACAAACTGTTCATTGTAACAGAAGCTCATTACAATAAGTCTGCCCTGCTGTGTTTAGTTGCTTAGTCATCCCCCGCCCCAGAAAAAACTTACTGAAAGTTGGGGTTGCGAGAATAGGCTGGGAATAGCTTTGTGAAAGGTGTTGCAGGTCACAATACTTATGATGACTATCAAGAGATAACTGAAAAAATGTGGCAGAAGATAACTGAATATATCAGGCTTCTTTTTGCATTAAAGGCACATTTACACACCTCTTTGCAATAATTGCTCCATGGATAGCATGCAGCATACAAAGGGATCACAAAAATTGAAAATAGAAATAGAAAAGAGAGCGGGAAAGAGAAACAGCCTGTGTCAGTAGCTTCAATGCTTTTTTATGTGCTATTTGAAAATTATTCTGCTGAAATACCCACGTGCTCAAAAAAATAGTTTCTTCAGCACAGACGACGACAAGAAAGATCAAAAGTTTGCAGGAGCTTAAATTTAGAGAGTTGTCAAGTAAGCATGCAGTCGTTAACTTCTCACTGAAGCGCTGCAACATGATTTCCTCAGTGCACAGCTACATTACACAAGGCGAAGCTATCCGCAATGTACCTGCACAATTAAAAATGTCTGACACGAGTGGCACAGAAGCGACGCATTTGCTACAAGCATGACATGGCGTTTCTTTTCATTGCGATAGCGATAATATGCGCAGTCTCAGCTGGTTTTTTGCCGCCGCCGTCATTCGCCGTATATATATACATATCTCAGGGTGTCCCACATAACTTGAGCCAAGAATTTGAAAGTGAAAGGCACTTAGAAGGCGAATCGAACCAAAAGCATACTACTCACACTAGCCAGTAGGTACTCAGGCTACTTTTTTTATTTCTCATCCCTACTGAAACGTTCCGTATGCGATGTCCAATAATTCCGTATGTTTCCGTAATAATCTTACGGAAATATATGGAAATTATATAGGAAACATATGTATTTTTTACGGAAACATATGGAATTATTGGACTCGCATACGGAACGTTTCAGTAGGGATTCTACCAACTAATTAGTAATTCTTAATTACGTATTTTTAATTATGGACTGGAAACCCAAATATGAACACTTGGATGTACAGCACTTTCAGAACCCACCGACTAAATTGTTTCCTGTACGATACGTCTCGCACTGTTATTTTTTCCACGTTGTAAAGAAAGCCCGTGAAATGTGAAAAGAAGCTGTGTGACTGACCACGAGCAAACAGCTATAGTGCGGCTATGGGCTTTCTTTACAACATGAAAAGAATAACAACCCATAATTTAAAGAATTAGGAACTAATAATAATTAGTATAAGGAGAAATAAAAAATAGCCTGAGCACTTACAGGCGGGTAGTACGCGTTTGGTTCAATTTGCCACTGAAGTGTCTTTCATTTTCAAATTCCTGGCTCAATTTATGTGGGACACCCTGTATATGAAAAGTAAAGAAAGAAAAAAGCTTGTCACGATGCACCAACCCACACTTATCTCACATGCGTACTTTGTTCCGCGAATGGGGGGGGGGCGAGGGGGGGCAGTTTAGATGTTTGTGCGTGCGTGCTTATCCTCCAGCGGGCAAAATAGTGGACCTTCGACTTTGAGCGGAACAATTGCATTTAGTTGCCGGGTGCACAAAGATCACTTTGCTCGCTGGACAGGCACTGTTTGCTAAAAGAGGTCGCTTTTCAAACACAGCGAGGTAACAACTGGAGCACTTATTTGTTCGCACTCATATCTCTGCCTGTGATTACGTTTGACGCCTCGTTTTCGTTTGAACAGTGCGTTAATTGTCGAGCGGTAAACGTTGTTAGTTCGCTTTCGTCCTGTGTATATTGTTTTTGTGCGTCATTTGTACGTGAGCAGCGCGCTGCACGTTTCGATCTGCTTGCCGTTCTTAGCGTTACATTCCAAGTTGTTGCTATCACATTCTTTGTTTTGCCTGTGCAGCGAAACTGTGATATCTTTTTTAACTTTTGATAATAACAGAATCCTTAAGTTGCTCAACCAACGTCGCCTGGAAGGTCTGAAGGAAACCTGGTGGAACAAGAACCCCGCCCGTGTTACTTGTGACGACAGCGAGCGTCAGAGTGATGGCATCAGTATCCGTAATATCGGTATGTACTTTAAAGCATGTTCAATGAGATTTAGTCTTGCTTTCTGTTTCAATAACAGAATAGCAGTGCAAAGCACGCAGCAGCTTCATGAAGCTCTGGCTGTCAGAGCTCGTTGCCACTACAGAACTATCCTACAGCGTAGGGTTTGAAGGTTTATGGCATAATAAAAAAAAATTAAATAGATGAGAAAACCAGTTTAGAGATTATTTACCTAACCAGATTGCATTTAAAACACTACAAAACACATTACGCCTAGGAAAACAAGTTGTTCTCATACTGCAAGTTCTACCTGCTCTACTTCCTTGAGACCAGTTCTTTTATTATACTGACTCCAAGTTTGCTAACTCGAGATGCTTGTATTGTTTGAGATTCCTGCACACGGAGCACTTCTGACCGATTACTGACGAGCGTTGCCTATAATGTATTAGATGCAAAGCGGCTCTTTGACTAGCCTGTGTAACGCTGTCCCTCCGTCTGCACCGCTCCCCTCACCACAGGTGTTGGAGCGGTGCCAAGTAGCTTACGCCCTCTCAGCAGTGCGCTGCGACATCTCTATCCCTCACCTGCCACGCACTCGCCGCGTGTCAGCTCTGTCTTGCTTCACCCTCTCTACCCCTCGCAACGCTCCAGCCCACTCCTCACGTGGGCATCATCTCACCCGCGCCACCTCTCTCCATCTGACGGCGAGGAGAAGCCGCGAGCCGGCCAGCGTCTTGAAAATCTCGCGGCGTCAACAATGTGGACAGCGCACCGCTGCTTGCCGCGCGCTCGCCGACAGAAGGGACGCCGTCGTGGCATGCTTCCCGCTAGTGTGCGCCTGCGTTTCCTGGCTGTCACCGGCGTTGCGAGGGTTACCGAAGCCGATCGCGTTCGTGATTGGCAACGTCAACACCGAGGACGCGCGAGCCAGGGAAGCCGAACGCAAGCGTCGGATGTGGGAGACCAGCGACACTGACGAGGTGCGAGTCAAGAACACCGATCGCGTTAGCAAATACAGACAGTGCGCGGGTAACACCGACGAGACGCGAGCCAAGGAAGCCGATCGCAAGCGTCTTCAACGCGTGCCGCCTCCCGTGTCTTTGCGTTTCAAGCAAACGTTTACTCCAGTAAACGCTACACAGTTTTGCTTCAAATCTTTCTTCCAGCACCTGCGTCGACGCCCGTTTCAACCGGGTCAAAACAGTGCATATTGCTGCTGCTTCGCATCCCATCATGGGTCCAAACGGAGAGATCATCCATAGTTTATTTCTGAGGAGGGCACGCTCCAAGCACACACATCGCTTCATTTTTCACTGGTGTGTCATCATCATCATCAGCCTGATTACGTCCACTGCAGGACAAAGGCCTATCCCATGTTCCGCCAGTTAACTCGGTCCTGTGCTTGCTGCTGCCAATTTATACCCGCAAACTTCTTAATCTCATCTGCCCACCTAACCTTCTGTCTCCCCCTAACCCTCTCGCCATCTCTGGGAATCCAGTTAGTCATCCTTAATGACCAGCGATTGTCCTGTCTACGCACGCTATATGCCCGGCCCATGTCCATTTCCTCTTCTTGATTTCAACTATTATATCCTTAACCCCTGTTGTTCCCTAATCAACTCTGCTCTCTTCTTGTCTCTTAAGGTTACACCTACCATTTTTCTTTCCATTGCTCACTGCGTCGTCCTCAGTTTAAGCTGAACCCTCTTTGTAAGTCTCCATGTTTCTGCTCCGTAGCTAAGTACCAGCAGGATACAGCTGTTATATACCTTCCTCTTGAGGGATAGTGGCAGTCTACCTGTCATAATTCAGTGAGAGTACTTGCCAAATGTGCTCCACCCCATTCTTATTCTTCTAGTTACTTCAATCTCGTGGTTCGGCTCCGCAGTTATCACCTGCCCTAAGTAGACATATTCTTTTACAACTTCAAGTGGACTATTACCTACCTCAAAGCGCTGCTCTCTTCCGTGGTTGTTGTACATTACTTTCGTTTCCTGTAGATTAATTTTAAGGCCCACCTTTCTGCTCTCCTTGTCTAACTCCGTAATCATGAGTTGCGATTCGTCCCCTGAGTTACTCAGCATTGCAATGTCATCGGCGAAGGGCAGGTTACTAAGGTACTCTCCATTAACTCTTATCCCTAACTGTTCCCATTCTAGGCTTCTGAAAACCTCCTGTAAGCACGCGGTAAATAGCATTGGCGAAATTTTATTTCCCTGCCTTACATCTTTCTTGATTGTTATGCTGTTGCTTTCTTTATGAAGCACTATGGTAGCAGTTGATCCCCTGTAGATTTCTTCCAGGATGTTTATATATACCTCATCGACGCCCTCATTCCGCATTGTCTGCATGACGGCTGATATTTCTACTGAATCAAACGCCTTCTCGTAATCAATAAAGGCTATGTATAGTGGTTGGTTATATTCTGAGCATTTCTCTATTGCCTTATTGATAGTATGAATGTGGTCTATTGTTGAGTAGCCTGTTTGAAATCGTGCTTGTTCCTTTGGTTGATTGAATTCTAATGTTTTCTTAACTCTGTTAGCAATTACTTTTGTAAATAGCTTGTATACTACAGGGAGCAAGCTGATCGGCCAGTAATTCTTCAAGTCCTTGTCATCTCCTTTCTTATGTATTAAGATGATGTTAGTATTCTTCCAAGACTCTGGTACTCTTCCCGTCAGGAGACACCTCGTAAACAGGGTGGCTAGTTTTTATAACACAATCTGTCCTCCATCTTTCAGCAGATCTGATGTTACATGATCCTCACCAGCAGCTTTGCCTTTTTGCATGCTCTCTGAGGCTTTTCTGACTTCTGTCATTACTGGTGGGGTGTCATCTGGGTTACTGCTAGTTCTTATAGTATTAGGGTTGTGGTTGTCCCGGCTACTGTACAGATCTCTGTAAAGCTCCTCCGCTATTTTAACTATCCTATCCATATTGGTAGTTATTTTGCCATCTTTGTCCCTTAGTGCATACATCCGATCCTAAGTTTCCTCTTCACTGCTTTGATGCTTCCTCCGTTTTTGAAAGCGTGTTCGATTCTCTCCATATTAAACCTTCTTACATTGGATACCTTACGCTTGGTAATCAACTTCGAAAGCTCTGACAGTTCTATTTTGTCTGTTCTACTTCAGACTTTCATGCTTTGTTGCTTCTTAATGAGATTATTCGTTTCCTGGAAAAGCTTGCAGTGTCCTGTCTAACTACCATACCTTCGGTTTTCACTGCACACTCCGTAATGATACTCGTCAGATTATCATTCATTGTATCTATGCTAAGGTTTGTTTCCTCAATAAGAGCCGAGTACCTGTTCTGAAGCGAGACTCTGAATTCCTGTACTTTCCATCTCAGTGCTAGCTCATTGATTGGCTCCTTGCGTACCAGTTTCTGTCGTTCCTTCTTCAAGTCTAGGCGAATTCGAGACCGTATCATTCTATGGTCACTGCATCGTATCTTGCCAACCACTTCCACATCCTGCACAATGCCTGGGTGTGCACTAATTATTGTCTGTTTCGTTCCTATTTTCGCCATTAGGACTCCTCCATGTCCACTTGCAGTTTCCTCGTTTTCGGTAGAAGGTATTCGAAATCCGTAAATTATTGCGTTCTGCGAATTCTACTAGTATCTTTCCTCTGGCGTTTTTAGTGCCAATGCCATGATCTCCTACTGCCTGGTCTCCAGCCTGCTTCTTCACTACCTTTGCAATAAAGTCTCCCATCAGTATAGGATACTGTGTTTTTACATTACTCATCGCCGATTCCACGTCTTCATAAAAACATTTAACTCCAGCGTCATCATGGCAGGATTTAGGCGCGTAAGCCTGTACCACCTTCATCTCGTATCTCTTATCGAGTTTAATTACAATACCTACCACCCTTTCATTAATGCTGTACTATTCCTCTATGTTGCCATGTTGCCAGTTATGCTTCTGTGAATCAGGAACCAGTTCTCTTCTGTCATCCAAGCCCCGATAGCAAAGGACATGCCCATTCTGTAGCACCGTATAGGCCTCATCTGTCCTCCTAACCTCGCCGAGCTCTATTATATCCCGTTTAACACCCTCTAGCTCCTCGAATAGTACACCTAGACTTGCCTCACTAGATAAGGTTCTAGCGTTAAACGTTGCCAGGTTCAGGTTCCAATGGCAGCCTGTCCGGATCCAGAGATTCTTAGTACCCTCTGCTGCGTTGCAGATCTGACCGCCGGCGTGGTCAGTTGCTTCGCAGCTGCTGGGAACTCAGGGCCGTGAGTTAATTAACGTTTGCATCTGGGAGGTAGTGGCCAGATATTATACCAGGGTGGCCAATTCTTCTCTGGTGAGAACCCCCCCCCCCCCCCCGATTAGCTCGGGTCCGTGTTGTCGCTACACACCAAACGCTTGCTTACGCAGACGCCCCTGCGTACGTATTAGCTTATGCTCTGTGCTAAAGCTAGACGTCACAACAATGAACTACCAGCATTGTTGCTGCTGTATATCTGTTTCGTGACCTGGTATTGCGCAGTCGCTTTTACATTTACAAGCACGTGAAGGGTCTATATTGACACTATTACTGAGATTTATAAAGCTTTTGATTTAAAGAAGGATTTAAAAGTTGTTCCTTAGTTAATACAAGTATATCACAAATAGGGGATTACAACAAGCACTCAATACAGTGAAGCTATTCTTGTGTTGGATATGAATTCATTTATCTAACTTTGCCCATACAAGTTCTGAAAATTTCAACATGAATCCATACAATGCTGCAAAAGCCCAACAGGGATACTTACGGTGTAGGTGGGAAGTTGAGGGTGATGCTCCCTGCGACTTGATCACCGTACATCAGGTACCCAAAGAAGCCAACAGCTATGTACGATGACCTACGATGACCATGCCAGTGTTCAGCACACCACTTACGCCTCCAAAGTCTTGAGGAGTTTTCATGTCGTTCTCCAAAGGAAGCACAATATATATAAACGGCTCATTCCACGTCACCGAACCTCTAACATACGTAGTCTCTGGCGCTACCCCGCTGTGAGGCGCTAGTGCTTTATTGTATTTAGGTGTGCATTTAAGACGGATGCACAGTTATTCTGAAATAACTACGCTAGCATTAGATATACAATGCGTTAGAGCATTTATGCTGCAATTTCGGCATTACTAGATGCAAAGATGCAAATTACTGAAAGAAAACCGCAAACTAAACTACCGCTATCAGAGGTTGTTCAAATAGGAAGAGAGTCATATATGCTATGTTGTACATATATGTTATAATTCAGCTGAATAATGTAAATTGATTACAATTTCTGTCTTTTTCTATACACATATTTTTACTGAGCAATGTTGACGTATTAGAAGGAAACTTCTCTCTCATGTGTGGTTTTTGAATAGACTGCACTAGTATTTTTGTTAACTTTAAATTAGTTTACAAGAGAAGAACGATATACCATTTAGCAAACAGATATTTTAAATTTAAGTTAAATGAAATTGTTAATATTAGCTGTAGATAAGCACACTTACATTACCTAACGAAACCTTCTAAACCGTGCTTTCAGGTGCTGTAGTAAGCATTCAAGTTCACATGATGTAGACATAAATTATAAAGTAGAAAATCAGATGCAGTGAGTAATGTAACAAAAATACACAAAACATTTGCAAAATGAGGCAGAACAAATATGATAGACATAAATGCCTATTGTGTTCACCTGAGAAATTTGTCTTTTCGTTTCTATCTTTGCTTCTAGTGCTGTTCATATATTTATCACCTACCAGCATGCGCAAGTTTGCACCCGACATGAATTTGACTATTGCAGGCTGTTGTGTTGTTAAGTGTTGGAGGCCTATTCTATCCTTGTATATAGAACTTGATTGATTGATTGATTTGTGGGGTTTAACGTCCTAAAACCACCATATGATTAGTATATAGAGCTTGCAAAAAAAATCTAATAAAGTTTATTGTTGCATGGATATTTATGAAGGGTAAAGTCATGTGTGTTAAGTTCTTTTTATTGAAAGTTTTAATATGTACTGTGTGGTTTTTCATGCAGTAGTTGTGAAAATCTTCTCTTTAAACAGGTGGAGTCTTCATTGTCATCTTCATCGGCGTTGTCATGGCCTGCATCACCCTGGCCATAGAATATTGCTACTACAAGAACCGCAAACCTAACAGCAAGGTGGTCGCTGTCAAGGAATATTCTGGCAAAGATTCTATCAAAGATTCCATCAAGCACTAGTAGCGTTCAACTAAGTGTACCATGATGTAGCTTGCTTAATAAGCTGTACTAAGGTCAATATATCTACCTATTTGTTAGAAACAATGAGTGAAGATATATTGTTCAAAAGCACTCCGAGTTCAAGTGTTTATGTGCTAAATGAACCAGTAAAATAAGCCAAATTCTATCATTTCAACTATTCTTAAATGTTTTGCTTAAACATACATTGAGCGGAAATGTGCTGAATGGTCCCTCTCTCTCAAGTTAAGATTCTTTTGAGCAACAATTCAAGAAAAAAGTTACAGAGCAGCCAGTGATTGTGTCAGATGCTGGCGTAAAGTGGCCAGACATTGCAATAAGATGGGGTTGTGCATGCTATTCAATGCACCACCCTCTCATTCACTCCTGTGCAAGTGAATAAAGTCAAGTTATATTGCGCAACTTAAAACCAGTACTGCAGTCCTAAGCAGTATTGGCCTCAAAACCGTAGCTATAGTGGCATCGAACGCTTCATGAAACAAGAGATAGCATTCGTCTAAAGTATGAACAAGAAAGTGGCAAATGGTACTATCACAAAGCCGATGTATATTATTATTTCCCTGTCCATGACAACCTGTTTCTCCCATTTTGATGGAGGTCCCCTGATGCCTCATGGTCTCTTTACACTAGTACAAATCAGTTTATGGAATTGAACATGTCTAAGAGTTGAAAGAGAAAAGTGCATGAATGTTTTAATGTTTCAATTTATTCTGCAAGTACAATTCCTCTCTCAGAAATCTTGGAGATCTGGCTTTAGCGGCGTGTGACAATTGCACATAGACACATTTGTACAAGCTCTCTGAGCACGACTTCACCACTACACATATTAACGCAACTATTCAAATACATCCCACAAGTTAACCATACAGATGTATTCAAGTAGTATTAGCATTTCTCTTCTTCTATATAAGGCAATAAACTGATTCCTGATTGCAAACACACTGTATTAGGCATTATGTTTATTGTAGTAGCTTGCTTTGAATATTGATGGCAGAAAACTTTATGGGTGATGACACCATGATATGCATGTTTTATATAAACTTATTTTCACTTGTTTATTATTTGCTACAGTTAATTTCTTTCACATTTGAATGTATAAACCTCCAAGTATGGTGGATTAATTATGTATGAAGTAAAGTGAATTTTATGTTGCCATGCTTTGTGCAACTATTGTTGAGGACAACTTTACTTTGTAACAACCTAAAAGAAAGTGCAAGCATAATTGACAAGCAAGTATTGTGGACACTAAACAACTGAAACCTTAATACACCTCCCTGATTGAGTACACCTTCCCCCCCCCCCTCCTATAACTGTCTCTGGCGGAGGCATCTTCCAAAAGCTCTTTGACTCTCAGGAGATACAAGACTGTTGGGAGGCGAGGGACTAACTATTTTGCAGCACGTTCCACCATGGTATCAATAACAGTTGGTGAGAGATTCATACTGATAATTAAGTCATATAGAAATGCATGGAGTACACCCAACCCCTAAACATAGCCTTCTTAGATTACGAGAAGACATTTCACTACGTCAAGACATCAGCAGTGATGCAGGCACCACGGAATCAGGGTATCGACGAACCCTACATAAACATAGTGGAATAAATCTGCAACTAACCCACATCCACCATAGTTCTCCATAAAGAAAGTGACAGATTTCAAATAAGGATGGGTGTAAGGTGAAGAGACATGATCTCTCCAATGCTAATCACCTCGTATTTAAAGGAGATTTTTAGCGCCCTTTATTGAGAAGAGTTAGGTATAAGACTTAATGAAGAGTACCTTAGTAACCTGCGATTCGCTAACGACACTGACTTGAGTAACTCAGGGTATAAATTACAGCTCATGATTATTCAGCTGGACACGATCAAAAGAGTAGGTCTGAAAATTACTATGCATAAGAATAAGGTAATTTGCAACAGTCTCGGCAAAAAACAGCACTTTGCGATTGGTGTAGAGACACTGGAAAGTGTAAAGGAATACGTCTGTATTAAGGACAGGTAGTAATTGTAGAGCCGAACCTTGAGTGAAATCTAGAAGAATAAAAATGGGGTGATTCACATTCCGCAAGCATTCTCATAATCATGAAAGTTGATCTACCTCTATCCCTCAAAGAGAATGTACATAACACATGCATCTTGCTGGTTCTCACCTACGGAGCAAAAACCTGGAGACTTACAAAAAGGGTTCAGCTTAAATTGAGGACGACACAGCAAGCGATGGAAAAGAAAATGATAGGTGTAGAAACAATAAAGTAAATGATAGGTGTAGAGACAAGCGAAGAGACAAGAAAAGAGCAGAGTGGGCCAGGCACAAACCGGTGTTATAAATATCATAGTTGAATCAAAAAAAGAAGAAATGAACATGGGCCGGGCCCGCAGCGCGTAGGCAGGAGAACCACTGGCTATTAAGGGTAAATAACCAAATTCCCAGGGAAGGCAAACCCACGAGGGGGAGACAGAAAGCTAGGTGGGCTGATGAGATAATTAGGTTCACAGGTATAACGTGGCAGCAGAAATCACAAGACCAGGTTGATTGGCGGATCATGGGAAATGTCTTTGCCCTGCAGAGGGTGTAATCAGACTGATGATGGTGATGATGAGTTGCCAGAGCCAGAGTCTGTATTGCCGTACGTGTAATAATTGTGTAAAAAGATGAAATGCGGGATTGTATGTGCCTGGAGTTAGTGGAAGTGTCACTGATCATCCTCTACTGAACCAAGGGTGCGTCTGGTGCGCGAGTTTAAGATGTGTCGATATGGGAGTGAGGGCTTCACCACAAAGGGCTATTCGGAGCATTGGACAGAAATGCCAGAACTTCTGTGTAACTCATCGTCAATGATATACCCCGACTTATCAACCTGACTTAACAACACACTTACTTTTCACGCCCAATGCAGGTGGCATCCTCAGCTAGCATACACAGGCATGAAAAGAAAGAAAAAAGCGACGTCGATGAATTCATTATTCATACATGTATTTGCAGTATAAGATCACGGTTATTGTTGTAAGGTGATGCTGCGTGCTGGATAAACCACGTTTCCACAATCCCCTCCCCCTCCCTCCTTCGTTCATGAGCTAGCGTCATCGCATCGTTTGGGCCGAAACAATCGTGCCTAGAAATAAAGTTATGTCCGGTCCAGCAATGTTCAAATTCCGTGAAAACGCGTCGCATGGTTTACTTTAGCAACATTTTCTTTCCTGGTCTTTTCCTAATCTCTTGGCTGTTTCGCCGATGTAGTTATGTCCCTTCGCAATCCTTTCTTCGTGCTTGTAGATCTCTCACTAATCGTTCGCAGGTGTGCAGTACTTGCGTTTTGTGAACACGTGTGCCAAGGTATGGTGGGGCTTATAGTACTCCTATCACACGGCAAATATAATGTCATTTACGGTGGATTTCAATTATTTGTAATTAAATTTGTCGGCTGTCACACCGGGAAACTAATGCCATTCAATTAAAATGACAGTTTTTATGAAACAAACTCCTGAAACTCGCAAATATTCAATTTTAGACAAAATGCATAACCTCGACAACAGAAACTTTTCAGAAAGATGGCTATTGTAATTTGTCCACCTCAGTAAAATAGTGGTTACGGCGCTCAGCTGCTGACCGAAAGGTCACTGGTTTCGTCTCGGCTACAGGAGTCGAATCTTGGTGGAAACGAAAAGTTAAAGGTCTGTGCAATTCGCAATGTCAGTGCACATTAAAGAACGCCATACAGCCGAAAGTTTTTGAGCCCTCCACTACGGCATTTCTTATAATCATATTGACTTCGGGACGCAAAGCGTCAGATATTATATTAATATTACCTTCCATAAAGTTCGGAAATATTTTAAATTTTACTAGATTAACGACTGGTTTCAAGACATGATAGCCTTGGGCGGAAGTTTCTAAAAGAAGGCTGCTCAACCGCAGCGAGTAAACACCGTCCATGTTTATTTGTGCTCTGTTGTCGTCTGTATCGTGGGTGTTGCTCATTCGATTTCACATGCTTATGTGATCAAGGTCGTGACCACAATTTAGCTGCCGCCATCTCTTTTTTTTTTTTTTTTGCAGCTGGAGTTCTAGTCCCGCTCTCAAAGTTCAGTTGACCATAACCACACCCTGCGTCAACCACGCCATGAACCACGCCCTCAAGAACTTGAAGCATTGCAATGTTTTATTCAGAGTAACAACCACTATTCTCAGAGACTACCCTTTTACCTAATTGGAGCACTAAACTTAATAGCAGAAGCCATAAACACGTAATGGCCATGATGCTAAAGACACTGCATTATCTTTTGAGAGTAATCTAGGCAAGAGAGGAAGTCAAAATCGGCCACTTGTGTTCCACAATTTAACTAATTTTGTCAAAATGTGGTTCATTGCCTTTGCCTGAACATCAAGTTGGCACTGTGCCGAATGGGCACACATAACACACCAAGTAGTTGCCTTACATTACCGAAGGCCACAATTTTCACAATTCTGCCACACATCTAAATATATTTGCACTTGAACTGTTGACGTCGATGACAGCAAAGTTTGAAGCGAGCATTTTTTGGGGTAATAAAAAAACAAACCTATACTTTTCACAATGTGAAAGGCAAGTGAAAGCACATAGATTAGTATAAAATACAATATAATTTATTTCAACATGTCTACTTACTTTAGATTCAGCCTACAGAACATGACATCAAATAGTGGGAATTTCACACATTTAAAGACAGTTCATCCTAATGCAAACCATGAAGGATTCATTTTGCTTGTAGGCACCAAATATATGGCATTAAACTTTAAGACATTAGGAATGTACAGCCATTTACCGTGCCCTTGGGGCACAAATGTAACTTCAAACAAAAGCAAATACTGGGTTCATGTTATGTTGCCTCAATTTCTGCCCCCACTTTTGTAGAGAACGCCACCTGTTGCTTCTAGTAACTGGGAGGTGGCGCCCCCACTCTGTATAAAAGGCATCGGTGGGCATTAAACGGGGCTTTTTGCTGTTTGTCAACTACGCGTTGTCGGGTCATTCTTCGCGGGCTTCACGCCCACTTTTGGTTCGGCTAGCGGCGTCCGCGCTACCCGGGCACGTCACTACATGGTGTCAGAAGTGGGATCCTGCGACAACCGTACAACATGCAGGATAACCCAGCCGCGGCCTCCGCCGTGACCGCCAGCTTCACATTGCGAACTCCGCCCCTGTTCAATTTGACAACCCAGCCCAATGGACGGCGTGGCTTCAACAATTCGAGGATTACTTCTTCGCCTCAGGACTGTCCTCCGCCCCCGAAGAAACCAAGGTACACACGCTCCTCTACTGTATGGGTCCCCAAGGTCGCGAGGTGCTTTCG